GGCTTCAATACAAACTTCTTTGAAACAGAATAAAATCTGAAGTGGTCTGGTATGTACTTCAGCCTAGATATTCAACTAAGTGGACTTTAGTGCCTAAATAACATCTGAAGGGCTATATCTTGGTACTTCCAGAAGGGGTAAATCTCCCAAAGTTTAAAACAATGTCACACTAACTCAGTCGAAAGAAAGGCTGTGGACAGAAAAATGCAGATGATAATTGAGTTGTTTGTGTAAACAGCTAGAAAGCCACAAACCTATAGCTGAAAGGGGAGGCTATGCTGGTATAAAAAATAAGGAAAAAAGTACATTGCTTGCAGTAAAAGGAAGTTGAAAAGTCGAAAGTTTAGCAATAGGTGAAAGGAAAAGAAATTATGAAGAAGCCAGCAGCAGAGTTAGGAAGTCTAAGGAAGTTTTCCAAGTGCATTAGTAGCAAAAACATCTTAGCGATGATATGAATCTGTCATAGATGTGTGTGGTAGGTTTGTCAATAATTGAGACAAAAAGAAAAAGAGTTCAATAAATATTTAGTTATTAAATATTAGTTATTAAAATGCCTAGTTTGTAAAACAACTGGTCAAGACAGCTTGTGTTCAAGAATTTTGAAAGAACTATCTAAGGAGCTTTAAAAGACATCCGTGTCGAAGTTTTCAGTAAGTGTTGGGATACTGAAGAAATTCTGGAGAACTGGAAGAAAATTAGTGTTGCATTAGTATTTAAAAAGGGTAAATGGAATATGCTGGATGGCTGTATTTAATTACATGTGCTAATATACTCTCTACTCGTGTGAATAAGACTACTTGGAAATACGAAAATTGCTGCCTTAACATCAGTCTGAGTAAAAATATCAGAATACTTGATATAGGATCAAAGAACTTGAAAAGGGTTTATAATTACATGTCAATCTAAAGGGCTTATTTGAAAAGACTTCTTGTTGCAGTGTCATTTTTTTTAATGAGTTTACAAGTTTGACGAAAGTCATAGTAGGACATTCTGATTTCAGTCACATATTTAGATTGGTAACTCTTGATAGGTACTTTAGTGTGTGCCTGGGCTGGTAAAAATCACTGTGTCACATGTAGGTTTAAAATAAAAGTATAAATAGGAATCGTTGTTGATTAACTCTGCCTGTAAGTTTCCTGTAAGGGTAAATTCTGGGCTATGAGCTATTTAACAGTTTTAGCAGTACGTCAGAAGGCAACATAAAAACTGTACTGATAATCTGCTGATAACATAAAGATTAAGACAGGAAAAAATAAGGCAGAGTCCAACTCACCAATGCAATAAAACCAGGTATCTCAAAGGGAAATAATATAGATATGGAGGGTGGGAATACCTGTTCTGGAAGGAAATATGCCAGAGAGAGACTTGATGTCATGGTGGATGATCAACTAAGAGGATTTATTTTGGCCAAAATGACTGATGAGATTGTTGCATGGATAAATAGGGAGATCTCAGGAAGGAGCAGAATGGCCGCATGGCATAGTGTGCGCTGATGTCTGCCTTTCAGCAAGTACCCTGAAAAACTGGAGAGGGCTCTAAGAAGATCCTAAAGTATCACCTTGTATAATAAGCTTTGGCAAGACTGCCTTTTGTCATGTTGCTCCCCTTTTTGACCATTACCTGCAATCTATCTGGACAAAGTACAAAATGAGTGATGAAGTAAGCAAGGGACATGGGGACCAACCAACTAATGAGAAAAGAATAGAAGAGTTTAATAGCAAGCAGCAGGAGATCACAGTGACATTTTCAAGGTGAAAGGTTAATAACTTAAAGCTGTAAACACTCATGAAGGAGAGAGATTATTTATTGAGCTGAAAGTGGAAGGTTTAGGAGTAATTGAAAAATACTAGCATAGGTAGTAGACAAAGAGTCTTCTTTTTGTCTAGTCTGACTTCCTGACGGTCAGATCTGTTAGTCTGTACATTAGTTTATCTTCTCAGAGAGGCAGTGAGAAATATTGAGTTGTTATTTTTGTATTAGATGGGGAGAAACATGAGAAAACACTCTAAAGGAAATTCCTATTTTGGCAGGAAGATAGCTTGGCTGGCCTGGAATCAATTTCCCATCATAAGTTCTATAAGTATTTTCTGTAATTTTTTTTCTCTTCTGCAAAGTAACATCAGGATTCAGGAAAAAATTCAGCCCTGCAGGTGTCTGAATGCTTTTTTCTGTAAGATAGTGAAAGAAATGGAATTACCTTCTGAGTGCTGGAGGCTTCTGATTTTACCATGTTCAATTACAGAAAAAGCAATGGATTTGTGCTGTGCTGTTAAAAGATCCCATATTTTTGCTGTGACAGTTGAATATTGTTACATTTACTGTTTTTTTCCTGATGATTCTATGTTCCTTAATGGCAGACTTAACTTAAAATCATGGATCTCCTTTCTCTCCATCTTGTTTTTCTTTTCATTTAAATCATTGCCTTTTGCTGATCAAGACAGAGAAATCATTGTTGTGCTTTAACCCCAGCCGGCACCTCAGCCCCACCCAGCCGCTTGCTCACTCCCCCCCGGTGGGATGGGGGAGAGAATTGGAAGGGTAAAAGTGAAAGAACTCGTGGGTTGAGATAAAGACAGTTTAATAGGTAAAGCAAAAGCCGTGCACGCAAGCAAAGCAAAGCAAGGAATTCATTCACTCCTTCCCATCGGCAGGCAGGGGTTCAGCCATCTCCAGGAAAGCAGGGCTCCATCACGCGTAACGATGACTTGGGAAGACAAAATGCCATCGCTCCGAGTGTCCCCCCTTCCTTCTTCTTCCCCCAGCTTTATATGCTGAGCATGACATCATATGGTATGGAATATCCCTTTGGTCAGTTGGGGTTGGCTGTCCCATTCGTGTCCCCTCCCAACTCCTTGTGCACCCCCAGCCTGCTCACTGGTGGGGTGGGGTGAGGAGCAGCAAAGGCCTTGACTGTGTGTAAGCACTGCTCAGCAGTAACGAAAACATCCCTGTGTTATCCACACTGTTTTCAGCACAAATCCAAAACATTGCCCCATACCAGCTACTGTGAAGAAAATTAACTCTATCTCAGCCAAAACAGCACAATCATGTAGTTGATAAGAGATAGTCTTTATTATTTGTTTAATGCTGAAATTCATGTCATACAAAAATTGCATACAAGCATGTATGAGAGGATATAATGTGGGGTTATTGGAAGCATCTGCTGCAGCATGATGCTGTTGTGTTCTAAAGTTATTTTTTCCTTGGAACCCCATGAAGACTGATGGCTGTCTTCAGTACTATAATAAAAGATGGAAGGATACAGCATTCTCCTGCTAGGAGACATTTTGCAGCATTTTACTCACTGTGTAATGCACATTGTCATATATATTAAAATGAAAATTGTTTTAGCAGTTTAAAATCAGACCAGATATTGCTGAAAGACTAAAAGCAGTGGTAAGTTTGAAAAAGTTGAACATACGTTTTGGTTTTGGGATTTTTTTTGTTTTTCTTTTTCTAGATCCTTCTGTATGTTTTCATAATGTTACTGTTCAAATTAGTTCTGTCGAGAATATCTTAGCTGCTATCAATGGCATGTATATACATCTTTGTCTCAACTGCAATTCATGTGAATAGGATTCCTGTCTCCTCTGACATGATTTCACATTTTTATATTGCTGAATTCATAACCCACATGGCTGAGGTTTGAAAGCAACTAATTTTACGTCTCTCTGTCTTTGAACATCTTTTGAAAACAAGTATGTTTCTTCTGGTCAACTTGTTTATGATTCCTAGAAAAGAAAAGACCAGGGACAGTCTTAAATAAAGATTACTGCATGTTTAGTTTGGGACTTGTGTATTTTCACATGCATAGATTAAATAAATAAAAAAGCTATTGTTGGTATGAGTTGTTCCAAAGAGAAGTCACAAGGTACTGGATATTTAATTGTCAGAAGTGCTACAATAAATAATAATTTTGGTAAATTTGTTTTATTTTGAATAGCAAAAATTTGATCCAGAAGAACACCTCCGTTTAAAACCAGCTAATCTTAACATGCTGGATTTAATAATCACAGTAGTGAAGTAGAAAATAATTTCTATGGCCTTTTGTATCTTCTGAGATTTTGGTCTTTTTTTCCAGCACAACCAAACTTTACATCAAGACTCTAAGATTTGATCTGAATAAAAATGCACAAATGTGTATGTATCGGTGTCATAATTATGATCAAATGTCACAGTTAGCAATGAAGGGTTTTATAGATATATGACAAAGGATCCCTGAGATAGAGCAGTGCAGGCAGATTAATAAGAAGGGTGTTGGAGAGAGTATGTATTACTAGATACAGATACAAGAAAGTTACCTGATTCCTTTGAAAATCCATGCTTCATGCCTGGCAGTAAGAAAGAAATCTGTTCTCTGAATATGTGCAATGATGCAAAGGTTTCATTAGCGTTAGTTTCAGATGGGGCGTTGTTCTTGTGTGGTGAAGATGAGAGCACTTATGCAGGTCCTCCCAAAAGATTGCTGATAAATCCATGTCATGTATTGTATAGCTAACGTATTTTACAGTTGAACTCTTCTTCTAATCATAGAATCATAGAATGGTTTGAGTCAGAAGGGACCTTTAAAGATCGTCTAGTCCAATCCCCCTGCCATGGGCAGGGACATCTTTCACTAGATCAGGTTGCTCAAAGCCCCATCCAACATGAATGCTTTAGAGGTGTCGTTGTTGGCAGGCAGCTAGATGCACTGTTACTGCAACATGGGCACTACTGGAATATACAGTGTCTCTTTAGAGGTTATATACTGGTAAAAATGGGGGTGGATAAAGAATAGTAAAGAACACATTAATAAGGAAAGTATTTTGTTGTAGTTATGTTTCTGGGAAGTGGTAGGGCTATTTTGAAACATCATCAGGACAATACCGCACCAGTACGCTGTAATGAGGGTGCGTGTAGTGTAACAGAGCTTTGAATATATGTTCGTGTTTAACAATATGGGAGCATAGTTTTGTATAGAAACACCCAACTCTTCCCATGTCCTTTTTGTTTTGTTATAGTTATTCTCTCCTGTCCTGGATCACATGAAGAAAACTCTTCTTCACCAAATCCACCTCAGAAGCTCTCCCTGATAAAAAACAGGATGGTGTCATTGCATCAGCCTTCTAAACCAGGTACTGCAAGTCCTCTTCCTTTCATGCTCCTTATTTCTACTTCAGAATCTAGGTGTAAGATAGATGCTGGCAGTCACAAGGACCCTTTACCAGAAAGCTGTGCCACTGGCTTTCTGACTGGAAATGGAGCAATGACTTAAAAAAGGCCAGTGTAACCTTAAGGTAATCCCTTACTTCCTCATAAAAAAACCCCAAAACAAAACACAGAAAAAAAGAAAAAAAAGAAAAAAATTGGAAAAAAAAAAAGAAAATAAAAAGAATAATCATCTCCATCAGCACAGTGAAATCCACCAGACTTGGGTTTGGGAGTTCTTGAAATAAAAGCTAAGTAATGGAGCTGCTTTCCAGCAACTATAGAACAAACTGCCTTTCTTGGTACCGAATGAAGATTTTTTCAACTGGAGTTTTCTTTTTCTAGGCATTGTAAAAGCCCAGTGAGATGGACAAAATGCTTGTGAGATAGGAAGGATGAATTTGGTCTTACTGTGGTGCCAGGATAGGTGTAGCAAATACTATACTGTACAAATGCCTAAGAGAAATGAGCCAGTCGCTGTCAGTGGTGTGGAAACTTGGAAACTGAAGTGTCGCCTTTTCATTTAGTGAAATAATCACAGAATGGTTGAGGTTGGAAGGGACCTCTTGAGATCATCTAGTTCAACCCTTCTGGCTCAAGTAAAGTCAGCTAGAGCCAGTTGCCCATGACCATGTCTAGATGGCTTTTGAATATCTCCACAAATGGAGACTGCACAACTTCTCTGGGCAACCTGTTCCAGTGTTTGACCACTCCTATGGTAAAAAAGTGTTTTCTTGTGTTCACATTGAATTTCCTGTTTTTTTAATTTGTGCCCATTGCATTTTGTTCTGTCAGTGGACTCCACTGAGAAATGTCTGGCTTCCTCTTCATTCCCTCCCATCAAGTGTGTACACATTGATAAAATCCCCTTGATTTTCTCTTCTACAGGCTGAACAGTCCCAGCTCTGTCAGCCTCTCCTCTTATGAAAGATGCTCCAATCCCTCAATCATCTTTGTGGACTTATGCTGAACTTCTTCCAGTAAGTCCGTATCTTTCTTGCATGGGGGGGCCCAGAGCAGGGCACAGTACTCCAGATGTGGTCTCACCAGTGCTGAGTAGAGAAGAAGGATCACCTCTCTTGATCTGCTGGCAATTAGGATCACCTCTCTCAATCCTAATGCAGCCCAGAAGGCTGTTGGCCACCTTTGTCACAAGGGTGCATTGATGGCTCATGGACAGCTTGTTGTCCACCAGGACCCCAAAGTCCTTCTCGACTGGCTTTGCAGCCACTCAGCCCCCAGCATGTACTGGTGCCAGGGGTTATTCCTCCCCAGGTGCAGGACTTGGCATTTCCTTCTGTTGAGCTTCAAGAGGTTCCTATCGGCCCAATCTCCAGCCTGTCCAGGCTACTCTGAATGGCAGCACAACCATCTGGCGTGTCAGCTGCTCCTCCCTGTTTTGTACCTCTGTGAACTTGCTGAGGGTGCACTCTGCCCCTTCGGTCCTGGTCGTTAATGAAGGTGCTAAACAATAAAGAAAGGCCTGTGCATGCTAGAAAAGTCACATACATTCCTCACAGGACCTAGACTTGCCAGAGAGGAGTTCCTTATGGTAACATCTTGCAGATGGTATCTAAGTCTTTAAAGTGTGAACCTCCTTTCTGACATGCCCTGTGGCTGTCCATGAGCTTTCTTCAACCTAAGCTTCTTCAGAGCACTTTTTTAACACCTTAAAATAAGTCCTTTGCTGATTGTAGTAATATAGATATATTTGTCTCTCTATTTTACTTTTTTCTTTTTCATTTCTGTCACATTTTGCCTTTCTGGGGACCTACCCTTGAAGTTCTCCAGGTTCATAGGTGCTAAGCAAAGCTGGATATGAAGCATCTGTAAGGTGGTACACAGTAGTGTCAGAGGTTGCAGCTTTCATTGTTCTCTTATACTGTGACCACATGAGTGTACCCAGTTCTTTTGCTCTGCGATTTATGCTAAACAACAGCTTCTTGTTGATTGATCGTTCCGTCACAGTGCAATACACGTGATCCGTTGCCAGAAAGCTCAGAGGCCGTTTTTTACCACGTGTCAACAACTTCTCTGATCTATTTCAGACTCTTCTTCCAGGCGTTCAGATCCTCTCAGGTTGTGGCAGATAGGCTTTATATAGCCCGGAGAGTATGGGAATTAGGTGCTTTTGAAGGAGAACGTTGTGTTCACATATCTGAGCTGCAAACTGCTTTGTTATGTGAGGAACGTTCTAAGGATTAAGTCTGCATTGGTACAGTCCTTGCTACTGCAAGCAGGGGTATTGGTAAGATTTAATGAAATGATTTTGTCATAAATATTCATTTCAAGTAATCCTCTATTTAAAAAAGAAAAGGAATTTTTTCATTCCCAAGCTCTCACTTTGCTCTTTTGCACTGTCATGGTGTTGTGAGAGAAATTGCTTTCTGGGTTTTATGACCAACTAGTTTTTTACCTGATAAAAATGTTACTACTACTGACAATAAGTCTGTGGGTAGTGAGTTAACCTGTCAAACTTCAATAAATTTGAAACAGCACAGCAGGTCTGGATCAGGACTCTGCTTTGTCTCACACAGCCATGGAGTTTCTGAGCTATTGAGATCCCTAAAGCCAAAAGTTTTACTGGATCATCAAACCTTAGCCTGAAGCTGTGCACAGACATCTAGAGAGTGGCTCGTGTCCTCCTTCCAGTGCCCTGCTGGAAGGTGGCATTGCATATGCACATGAACAATTTGACAGTTCACCTGCTTGTGGCTTCCATTTAAAAATGATGGGCTGAACGGTGCAGTAGACCTTCGCTAAGCTGCATGGATCTGATGAGGTGGGCTGAGAAGCTATTCAGGTGGTTGGCCCAGCTGGTAGGTTGAGAAAGACGGTAACCTCCAGCGGCAAGCAGGCCAGACAGGGCTGGGGACGATGTGTGTCGGTGGGAGTTCACAGCTGTCCCAAGCCACAGTGATGTGCAACTCTGTAACATCTGTGGTTTTCTCTTACCCCTGCACATTCGGTGCTGTTTCATAAAAATGTAGTTACAATTAACTTTAAAAATTAGGAAAACTTGTCTACTTCGGCTGTTGCACTCAAAAGATGCTTCCATTTCTTCTTTTTCTGAGAGTTTAGTTAAAGTATAGCCAATCTTCTGGAGGCTCTTATGTTTTTATTTCTGGTCCGCCTGTGTTGCCTGTGCAACCACCTGTCCTTTTTATATCCCAACCTTAATTCTGTTCTTTTTACCTTTCTTTCCTCCTTCCTAGGAATAGAGCTAGCAAAGGGATAACATTATGTTGTTCGTGTTTGCAGGGTCTGAATACCCTCTGAATCTCAGGATCCCAAATACAAAAGTCTCTTATTATTTCTTATATGGCCTGGGGGTCTTCCAGTTATTACTGTAATATTATTATTACTACTGAAAATAAATATCATGCAAGTTAATATCAGCTTACCATATCTATTCAGCCCCACTCTGTGTGGGAGAACTTTGTGCGGCTAACATCCCTTCAGGGAGTTTATATTAGATTGATGAGAGAACAGTGAATTACTTCTTGTCTGGTTTATAATATGCTGATTATGAAAAATTCTGGCCAGGATGATCTAGTGTTCTCAGTGCTGTGAATGGACTCTGGAGTTTGTTAAGAGGATGTTCTTGTCCATCCTGCTGGAGGAGAGCAAAACTGTTAAAAAAAAAAAAAAAATTAAAAATATGTAAAGCTAGCATTGCTCAGCTATTTTGCTTGAGACCCTGTCAAGCTCTTTCGATTGCTGAGAGAGGGTTGACCTTAGAGTTTCGTTTGTTCCTCTCTGTGAAAATGCTAAATCCATACAGTTTCAATATCCTTGCTGCACTAGATATTATTCTCATTCAGGATTTTATGTATATGTGGGCTAGACCTTCCACTGCTGTAAATTCACTGTTGATACCGGTGGGAGGATGCTGATTTACACCTGCCAAGAATTTGCAGGGTTGTTTTTCTTTCTGGCATGTTCCTGCACCCACCCTGGGAGAGACTCTGTTGTTATTGCACAAGACAAACTTTCTTTTTTCCCTTCAACTCTTCCATTTCTTGGGAGAGATAGCCCCCCCACACTGCAGATCTGCTCATTCATGTGCCTGCATCACCTCTGCCCCTTGCACTGGGGGAGGCCTCAATGAAACCTTTGGTTTCTCATAACAGAAATCTCTTGTATCATCGGCTCAAGCTGTTCATGGGTGACGTCTACAGACAACTTTGGAAAACCGGACTGGGTGTTATCTTCAGTTGGTGTCCTGCTATCTCAGGAGAGGCAGCAGCTGCTTCTGGAAAACAGTTCCTCCCGTGGAGATGTTGAAGGTAGGCAGAGTTACAGTTCCCCTCGAATGGGCATCTGCTTTCTCCCGGCACTGTTAGCAGCTGTGGGTGGCAGTAACAGGAGCCAGCAGGCTGAGGCCTCAGGCACATGTCACTAAAAATACTGCCATACACTGGTGCTGGTGCACAACTCCTAAGTGCGCTGTCAGTGCCCAAGAGTCACTGAGAGCGATATAATGTATGTGTACTGCCTGAGTTGTGTGTGTATGTATGTATGTACAGCCAGCCCCTTTGTATACTCCTTTTGTATCTCCCTGTTTTAGGATAAGCTACTTTTGCTTACAGAGACTGGATTTTTCTTAGGAAATTCAGTCCTTTATAAGCCAGGGCTGGCTCCGCGTTTGCTGTCTGACCTGGAAAGTCTTTGGCTTTTGTTTTGTTGGATGTATCTTCACTCTGCTTTGTTTGGTTTCTTCTCTTCTCATTCCTTCTATCACTTCTTTACTTATTTCCCTCATTTTTACTTTATTCTCCTTTCTCTACTTCCTGTTATTTTTGGGTTTTGTGCATAGTCCTCTCCTTTCTTCTCATGATTCCTTTCTTCAAACTCCTTATCCGTTTTCCTATTATTATCTCTCTTCCATCCACACTGTGTGTCTCTTCTTTTTTTTTTTTTTTTCTTTTTTCCTCACAGGGGACATTTTCCTCCTGAACACCAGTAGGCTCCCAGATAGATGTGAGTTCAGCCTGCATAGCCCCATCCTGCCTGGGAGCTTGGACTCTTGCTTGCTGGAACTGGCCATATATTCACAGGATGCTGTTCCTCTCCTCCAGAGGTTCACAGTTGAAATCAGATATGTGGAGACAAACAGAAATATAATAATTTCTCTGAGAGTTGGCCACGAGGAGGATGCCGGGTAAGACAATCAATTTGCAGCTGTTTAGACTTTGAATTGCAGGATAGGGTGGAGTCCCTCCAGGCCACTGTTTATCAGTGTCTTCTCCCTTCTTGAGATCATTGCTGCTGTTACAGCAGAAAATGAAGGTAGAACTGTCAGGACTGAAGCGTGCAGCTTCCTGACAGGATGTCTGTAACAGGCCCAGGTTTTGTGTGTCCCCTTTGCAGAGAACACACTTGCTTAGAACTCACTCTTCTTCCCTCACGTTTGGAAGGGTCAAGAGTGGTTGACTCTCTCACTGATGCTAGGACTATAGCTGTAAAATGTACTGAATCTAAAGACTGCCTTGGCAACATGACTGATATCTCTAAGTATTCAAGGGGTTCTATCATTCTTACAAGGGTCACATTTCTCATTTTGAGGTAACGTTAATTTTACCTCTTTTGTAATTTCCTCCTTCTGTCTGCTAAGTTCAGGAGCATCGTCTTTGCTTCACTTGCAGAGTTCAGGGAGGGGAAAAAGAGAGGCTAGAGGTGAGAAGAGGTGAAGACAAAAAAAGAAAGTGCAGCAACCCTGGATCTTGTACCATATTCTCTTCTCTTTGATCTTCCCAGTGTTTTACTTTTTCATTCCTGCATGTAAGGAGGAGAAAGGGGCAAAAGGAATGAATCACAACAGGAAAAGAAGGAGAAAAGTCCACGTGTCATCTGATTTTCCCATTTTCCATGTGCTTGTTTTTCCTTTGCTGTAATCTGCCTTGTAAGAACGTGAGTCAGACACACAACAGAGCTTTTTATTTCCATCACCTGACTGACTCCCATGAAGAACTTAAGCAATAGATCCCAGTTCTTGTTTTCTTTGAATTCTTTGGCACTCCCCAGGCTGCCATGGAGATCTGTAGCCAAGACTCCTGGTCAGCCAAACATAGCAGAGTTTGACTAAAAAAACGTATTTATTTTCTTTCAGATCCCTCTCTCTCTCTCCTTTAGCTATTGCTCGCTTCCTTCCTGGCTACGCCTTCCCCTTCTTGCCAATTTCACAAGGAATCTGTTGCATTTTCTGGGATCAGTTTCTAATGTCCTTTTTTACCTATAACTGCCCTTGCTGCTTTGAGTATTTGACAAACCTCTGCAACTGCAGCCACAGCTCCATTTCCCTGCATAAACTCATAAAATACCCTTTTGATATACCTAGCTGGCCAGACCAGGCTTTGATCACAATCACTGCAACATCACTGGAATGGATCATAGATGTTGTTTAACAGCTTATTTGAGCATTGCAAAGCAATTCTACATGAAATCAAGATTATCATCTTTCTAGAAGTGATGGCATTTAGATTTATTAGAATAGAGTTAGCTTTACTGGAAGTTGGCATAGACGCTGGTATTACTTTTTCTTACTGAGTGAAATGAAGCACTGGTAAGCTCAGAGGGTTTAGTATTAAGGTTTTAAAGATGAAAAGTGACTGAGTGCTGTTTAAAATCAAGATAGAAAGGAGGGGAAGGAACAGAGACAAAGCAGAGTTAGGAACCACGTTAGGTCAAATACCCTTCCTTTCCCCCCTCTTTATAGGGAAACTCTTTAAAATCTCTGCACAATTCCAGAAAAATCTGAGCATGCAGGCAGGACAAAATTTATTTCTAACACAGTGATTGAGCTGCTTCTTACTAGGCAGGTAGTCTGAAATGAACATTTGCTCCATGACTAAGATTTTAACAACATTGGTAATTAAGAAGAGAGACCATCCTGAAGCGTTCCTGCTTTCCAGGGGCTTTCCATAGGGAGTCCAGGGGCTTTCCATAGGGAGTGGGAGTTCTACAAGCTTTTCTGTGTTAACCAAACACTGCCGCACAATTTAGAGCAGAACAAGGAGGACAAGGAGCAAATGAGCTTGAGATAGATGCCTATGTGTAGTACATAGTTTAGCCATTGACAGTTACTACCAAGGGATTGTCTTGAGATCAAAGTAGAAACTTAGATATAGAAAAAAGGCTAGGTGTCACTTCTTCAGATAATTAGGCACTCCAGAAAATCCTGCTTCAGTCCCTTCTGTCACCCCTCAATTCCAGGATCGAGCTATACTTCATCATAAATTCCAGCTGCACCAGACCGCTTCAGCGAACTGTTCTCTTTCTGGACCTAGAAATCTTCTCCTGATGGTGTTTCCTCCTTCAGGATCCATCAGCTACACAGTTCCCAAAAGCTTAGAGATATGTCATGCATGAGAGGAAGTTGCTGTCTTGTCCACCTCGCTAACTACTAGGATTTATCATTAAATCAGTAATATTGAAGCTGCCACTCATTTTTCACACATGTACCTTAGTGAAAGAACAAAGAAACAGATGGACCTTCAGACACCATGTCCTCTGAACAAGTAGGGCAAAGTCACAGTATTTATTGTTGTATACCACACTTATACGGTGTGGGTATTCTGAGTTACTACCATTAGAGGGAGAACCACTGAGGGATTGAGGTGTTTGAAACTCTATATATTTACAAAAAATATATAAAATTATATTTCTCATTATCTCAGTAGAGCTCAAACATCAAGAGCCTGTAGCTTTGCTTGCAAGTCCAAGCCTTCTTCATCTGGCATTTGGCTCAGAAAGCTGTCTTTGCTTTCTCAGGGTGTCGTGGTTTAACCTGGCAGGCAGCCAAATATCACGCAGCCGCTCGCTCACTAGAAATTTAACCCTATCCCAGCCAAAACCAGGACACAGGGTTACAGTTACGGTGCTTGTTCAGGTCACATCTAATGTCTTTTTTACTATTTTGCTTATCCTATGTTTTCCCTCTTTACCACGCAGACCCAGAAACAGTCACAGCTGAAAATTCTTCCGAGTCCTGTGTGCTTTTGTTTTGAATGGTTTCATATGCTTGTGTTTGTTGTTGACCACAATTATTTCAGTGTTGTCAGCTGAAACTGTTTCAGTAAGGAGCTAGTTTCTTTCAACTCTAACTACTCAGTGAAAATAAAAAAGCATCACTTGGGGCAGGGATAATCTTTTCCTTTTCCGTGATCAATAAGCCAAGTTGATTTTGTTCTGTTTTCTTTCTGAAGTATAAGGCACTAGCCATGATAGTCTTGGTAGGTCAAAAAGTTCATGGCCACGTGCACACATGGGTTTTAAGTTAGCCAAGCTCACAAAACAATTATTGCTTAGTTTTTTGTGTCTTCCCCCTTTTTTTGGGGGGGGGGTGGTGGTGCTAAATGCCCTGCCTGCTTCTGAGACGCTTGTAGAAACTTACCATCTTTGACATTTCTGTTCTACTAATGTGGTTGTTTTTATCCACAAAAGTTATTTAACTTCTACTATTGTACATGGAAACGTTGCCATATAGCTAATCTGAACATCTAGAAACATGTATGGTCATTTGGGTTTCACAAATTAGGTGTCCAACTACATAAGCCTTTGAAAGGGAGTAGTCTGGTAAGCGTCCTCAGAAAATGCCTGATATGTACTGACAACAATGAGCACGGCCATTTCGGTTAAAAAATGCAGCTAGAAAAGGAGAGACTGTCCAGCTGTTACATAAGACTATGATTTTTGAACACTAACCTGGGAGTATGATTTACTGCCCCTCATGCTTCTATTGAAATTGCACCCAAAAATACACTGGGTCAAATAAGAACCCTCTAACTGGTTGGTGAAGGCAAGAGGGGTAGGCGTGTGTTCTGCTCTCTCATCTATTTCCTTTTAGATCCAATGGCTAGAACTGGATGTTTGTGAAGACTTCCAGATAACAACTCCCTGTATGTAGAAGAGTAATGTAAAGCTTCTAATTTGTATGCTCACTGATTGAGTCTAGACGTGTAGATGAGGCGCTTAGGGACATGGTTTAGTGGGCATGGTAGTGTTGGGTTGATGGTTGGACTCGATGATCTTAGAGGTCTTTTCCAACCTTAATGATTCTATGATTCTAGAAGCATTTAGCATACATACCTTTGTGCAATAACCCATGCAGTGAGTCTCCCTAATTCAGAAAAGGTTTCAACTTTCCTGTTCAGCTTTATTGAATTTTTCACCCTTAATGAAGAAATTGTTGTTCTTAAAATAGTCTTTCTTAAAATTAATGATCAGTTACCTTTGTTGGATGTGGAAAGGCATGGCATAGAAAGGATTGGTAAGGAGAGGGAGGAAAACTTTTGCTCAGCAGAGGAGATTGAGAGGGTAATGAAAATAAAAAATTCAAAATACAAATCAAAATTGAAATTATAGGTTTGCAGGGTGAATCTTGAATTCTCTTGCCTTAAGCATTAGGTTGCTTGCTACTCCAAACTTTCTATCCATGCAAATTTCTCAAAGTTATGTCAAACTCTGATAGCCCTTCCATACATACAGATCAATTTTAACATCTCTATGTAGAAGAAGAGTAATATTACCTCATTACTTGAGATCTGGTTTGACATAAAATCAATAGTAAAGGTATTGCCAAGCTTGGCTTATCTGGAAGCCTGCTGCAATGATCCATCTTCTGCCAGATCGACAATGGGCTTCGTTCCTGATTCCATTAAGAAAATTAAATTGGCTCTGACTAGCCCCTGTTTGGATAGTAGGACCAAGCAAAGAAGGTGTAATTATTTACAGCATTAGAAATCTTGCTGCGGTTGGATCTTGGCGTGGAGGCTTTCTCTGAAGGGGAATACCCTGATGATGATGAGACTCCGTACACGGAAGTATTCTGGGTGATGCAAAGCTACTTGTCATTTTTGCGGTCTCTGGGTGCTTGCCAGCTTTTCCTGTGGTGTTATAAATGGAGTCAAATTTCACTACTAGAGATATTTCAGTGCAGAACTAGAATGTCTCATGGGACCGTAGGGCTCTGACTCAGAAGAGCTGCCAGTTCACACAAGTAGTGGCTTAAGATAGTGGCCTTGCTCTTCTACCAGATGCCACAGTCCTTCCAGCAGAAATGGCAGAATGGACATTGTGTCTTTCTCAGTTGTGACATTTCAGAGGTTGGTTTATTGACTTAGATCAGCATTGATTTTCATTTATTTTGATATATCAGGCTATAAATGGCAAGTTCCAAAGTGTCTGGCTCATAAACCATGTAGGATTAAGGTGCAGCAGCTAGTCATTGTTTTAAGCTGCGGGGCAGTAATCTCTTTAGTTGCTACCGCTAAATGTAACACTGGTTGTGAATCAGAGGCTGTGTGCTACAGGTCCCTGCACTCAGGGGTGTGATAACACTGGCGATACCGTGATGTCTCAGCTAGGTGATGGGTTATAACTTGGTGGAGGTATTAGAACTATGTCTCAGCGCTTGGAAGGTCTAGTATGCTTAATAGGCAAATTCAAAAGATTTAAAGACTGTCCTTACCTTCAGTGGCTCATTGAACCAATTTGATTAAGACTCATTGGGTTTTGTGGCCAACAGGTTGCAATGGAGTGATGAACAAAGCCGTGTCACGTAGCAGAAGTTCTGGGTCAGTGCTGAATGCTCTCGTATGTTGTGCCACAGTGTTGCAGGGGGGAATATATTTATTAGTGTATTTACAAGATATATTTATAAGTGTTGAACATTCCCGAAGCTGCACTGTAATACAAAATGAAAGCAAAGCAGTCGTTCTCCTTTGTTGGGTAGTAGAGATGGTGCAGTTGTGGTTCAGGGCTGGAGATTTCTGAAGCTGAATTAAATTACATTGAACTATTGCATATGATGTGATGGGACAGGAAACGGGAGAAATAGGGTCATCTTGATAAGAAGAGCTCAACTTCAGATGAGTTTAGGGTATCTGTGGGTATTTATGTGTGTGTACAATGGTGAAAGTGGAAGATGGTGGGATGCCACGGAAGGGATAGTAAGAAACTCTCACCAGAAAAGGTATATAGTCGGTTTGTGGCGGAAAGAATGAGTTAGGTAACTAATCAGTGGCAAGCAAAAGTGGAGAGGGTGATAAACAATTAAAGTTGCTTTGGGTTTTTTGCAAGTTGCAAACTAGGAGGTTTGTGACTTTCACAAACAGTAGGGATGAGTTTGTTGTCCAGGAGTTGCCTTCTAATGCATTTCCGGTGCAAGACGAGGGCTAGATGATCACTTCATGGCAGCTGAAGGCATCTCCCAAATGAAAAAGTAATACTAGGAGCAGAGCCTGAGCAACACATCTTGACACTGTGGCCTGGCCTCCTTATCATCCCACTGGCACTGACTTAGAGTCACTCGTCCAGGGTGCCCCCGGCAACATCAGCAGCATGTAGGGTATGGGTAAGTTTATCTCTGTCCGGTGCTCTTTTCAGAAAAAAGCTTAGAAGAAGAATTCCTTTGTCACTATCCTTGCTACAACCCCTTTACAAAATAATAACATATAGTTTTAACTCTATTTTATTGTCTTGTTAACATGAAGTAGAAGGACATTTTTTAAAAATAAAAATAAAATAAAAATATTTTTAAGAATCCTGCTGGATTTTTTTAATGACACCTGGATACCCTGACTTCCATCAGACTGATTTGAGTGAAATACTTTGAAAATTCCCATTTGGTATCTCTCTCTGGCTTTTGATGCCTAACAACCATCTTTAAAATTAGAGTGCATGGGACCATCTGTCTTTCTCTGAACTGCCACAAGAGCTGCACAGTTGAGAAACCTTTGCTGTCTAGGGGCTATGGCATGTGTTCTGTGGTGAAATGTAAATTGCCAGAGCAATCTGCATTTTCTGGAACACCATTTCTTTTCTTCCCCTTGCTTTGTGGGTGCACTCTAGCTTGTTAAGCTGGGAGATTAGATAGAGAACGCACAGAAGAAGGTTCTCACACTTGACACAACCAAGAAGCATTCAGGGCCAGACATTTACTTCCAGAACATACAATGTCAGTGTTAGCTTGAGGAGATCCTTGTGCAGCTGCTTCGTTGATCTGTACTTGCCAGAGCAAACCATATATGTGGAAGGCAGCTATGGGGGTGTGTGTCCAAAATTGGTGATAATGTAAGCCCCATTTTAACGGAAGAATCATTGGGAATGGTTGGATCTTTTCATCATTAGCAATAGGATCTGCAGCAAAGATAACTGAACGTGAGCTTGGTAGGCTGAACATCACTTGTTTTATATTAACACCTGTTTGTTATGTTGGAGTTCACATTGATTGATCTATTCCCCGTATGAATACTGTTACTTCTATTTAGTACAGTGCAGAGCCCTTATGCTAGAGACTCCATGGATTCCAGTGTGTTGTGTGTATGTCTGATAGCTCTTTGTTGTCTTCCAGGATGAAATGGAAATACCTGATGGCCCAGATTGGCCGAATAGAAAGACCTTTTAAAATCACCTTACTGTATTCAAACTGTGGAGCACAAGAGGTTGGAGTACTGGCAGTGGGCTCCTTGCAGCTCAGGAACTGCTTTCATGGTATGTTGCAATACAGTCAGGTTTGGAATAACCAAATACAGTCAGAAAAGAGAGCAGCATCTTCACCAAAATTGATGAGTGTGATCAAGGAGTTGGTTAGATGGGAGATAAATGAAAGCTGAGTCTCCTCTGGGGTTTCTGGCGTTGCTTACCTGTCAAGGGTCACATTTGCATGTGTTTTATGGGCATGCAAACATGTTTACATGCTCCGAAGGCAGGGTTGAAGCTCAGAATTACAGAACTGATTTAAGTGATCCTCTCTGCTTTTCAGATTTGCTTTGCTTGATCTTTGTGCGAGAAAACAACAGGGCTTACGCTGCATCCAGCAACAGGGATGGAAAAAAGTCTTTGCCTAGATTATTTTAGCATTTAATATTTTTCTTTCTTAAATAATCAAGAACAAAAGACTACCATATGTCACCAAAGCCTTTTCGATACTGGGGTTCTGTCTTCCAAATCTATAAAGAAAAGAAACATTGATCTGCACTCCATGGGGTCTGTTTGCTACTGCCAGGCTGAGAACTTCTGTCTAAAATGAAAATAATTGGAATGTAATTATTTTCTCCAAAGTACCGAGTGCTCAGCTCAGAAATGCTCAGTTTTACCTGGCACTTACACTCCTGTTGTGAATGTTGTGTAAATGATCCTCAGTAGCTGTGCAGAACCTTGCTAATGTCATTTAGGCTTCTTGGAAGTACAAGAGTCTGTCGGCACAGGCAGCCTGCAGGTTGGAGACGTAATCATCTTCACTTCCTGGTTTTCATGCGTTAATATAATCCCCTTGCCTCCGTTTTGCAGACACCGTAGAAATAGCTTGGAATGTAATGTAAAAAGCTTCAAATGTAAAAAGAGAATACAGAGCATTTCATAATATATCACGAGACTGGTTTTGATCATATTAGAGATTTAATTTTATTGCACTTATTAATCTTTTAATTTAACAAACGTTATATTTTTAATGCAATGGTTTTTTTTACAGTCATGGAGTTTTGAGGGGATGCATACAGTCTGAAGCACTATGTTAAACACTCCCAAACAGTCCCTAAATAAGCTGATGCATGTACCCAGCACAACACAGTGCCATGAAGAAATACTATTTCGGATTATCTGGATTGCTGCAGAGGTGTCCTTTTCTCTTGCTTCTGGAATTGTTTCCCTAACTTTTGCATTTTTTCCAGAGCAGTAACAATCCCAGTGGAACTTCTGTGCAGACCTCTGCTAAAGGGTCCAAAAGAGACCTACACAAACCTGCAGGTCCAAAACAGACCTGTGCACACACACATCTACAGGACGGGCATCGTGCATTAAGAGTCAAGCTTTTGGGAAATATCAGACTTAAAAATTGTGTTCAGCCTGGTTGCTGGGTACCTGTGCAGTCAGTCAAATGCTCCCAGAGTTATAGCTGCCTAGACTGGCTAGGGTGCATGAGTAAAGTTCCTGCACAGTGAGCTGACTTGCTGGGGAAGCAGCTCTCTTCACAGACTGGATGCCACAGAGCTGGCACAGAAATGTGTCAGCAGCATGAGTGTTAGTTAAGCCTGAGTCTCAATAGGGGCATAGCAATGTGTCCGTCAGGACCGGAGCTAAGTAGGTATCTCTGCCTCCAGCAGCAGTGTCATGCAGCATGCCACAGCTGCCTGGCAGGTGCGCAGTCACGCGTACAGAACTGAGGAGCACACCACGGTAGGAAACGACAAGGTCCTTTGTTTAAAAAAGCAAGAAAGAAAAGAAAAAAAAAAAGAAAAGTGATTATCTAAAGATAGCACAACCACAGCAGAAGACAGTGCATGAGAGAGAAAGGAGCAATAACTTTGGTCTCCATGAGAGCTGAGGTGATCTGCAGGAATCTCATGCTGGATAGAAACCTACACAGTAAAAAGCAGAGGTGAGTATCATTTATCACCCAAAGGACACTTTCTGAGGTCCTACACGTGAAGACTGATACACGTGAAGCGTCATACGCATTCTGCCAACTCATCTCTGGGCTTCTTTCTCTTTTTTCCCTTTAGATAAAGAAAACCAAGATCTTTCTATATATGAAAAAGGCTCCACCTTCCCCTGCCTTCATGGAGGCTGTGTCAGCCACCTACAAATCTGTGAATTCATCAGTGATTGCCCTGCCAAAGAACAGGACGGAGTGAGGTGTGGTGAGTACCTGGCATGGCACTTCGTGGGAACCTTCATTCCATTAGAAGAAATAATTTAGAATGAAAAATAAGTTAAATTGATTCCATCTCTAGATTAACTCAGTATTTTGCCTCCTGAATTAATTTAGCCTATTTACATTAATTGCACACCAAGATTCTCTTTGAAAATTCACCCTATATAGAATAAAATGGATTGGGGTTTTTTGGTTTGGTTTTTTTTAAATATTGCAGTAAGGAGCTCAATAAGCTGCCTTTCATAGTTGCTGCTACTTCAGAGAAAGACAAAACCTTATTTACATGTCTGCAGCTGGGTGAGAAATTCCTTCTGGACCCAAGGTCTGAATCTCCCTTCAGTGGAAGGTGCTGATCGTCTTTCTAGTGCCAGCCACCAACACGGTCATAAATCTGTCCCTCCAAGATCCCAGTTCAGAGCTCATCTTGCACATCATGACAGAGAAATCTCCTGACTCAGTATATGTGGTGCTAAGAAGCATCATTTAGCTTTGATGCAAGTAGAGTGGCAGACATCTAAAATAATCTGTTGATTGGCTTTCCTTTAAGTGGACACAGAAAACTTTGTGATGCCTGCAATTTCATATACAGCAAGGCCTTTACAAACATACGGCTGTGATTTACCATTCTTTAGATAGTGGGAGCTGCAGTTTTGCACAGTATCTAGAGCAGGACAGAACTGCAGTCTCAAATATCTCCAGAAGCAAAGTGTTGGCTTTCTGGTGGTGACTCTGGAAATAAACAAATGAGACTTATGTCAATTTTGACATTGAAAAACCGTGTAGCATAAGTTGGGTAGCTTAGACAACCACAATGAGTTTTGACTTTTGCTGCTGTTTGTGTTCTTCCATAATCAAGTTTCTCCGATTTTCCTGCTTTTTCTTATTCTCCATTGCAGACAGTCTCCCAGAGGGCTCACATTGCTCTTTTGAAGAGGGTCCGTGTGGCTGGACACTGAATGAAACTGCAGCATCTCCTTGGTCTATTCGGGGCTTTACTGAAATGATTCAAGATGACTCATTTGTAGGGTCTACCTTGCAAGCCACTGGTGGTAGGTTCCTCACAGTTCTCTCTCGCTCTCCGTGTGTGTGTGTGTGTGTGTATACACATATAATAGCCTTGAACTTAATTTTTTTTTAAATTGGTTTAACATTTTTGGCATCATTGCCAAATCAACTTTAGCATCAGCGTTATCTATAACAACTTTAAATGTAGATAAAATTAACTTTTGAACATGATTCAAAACTTTATATGAGACATGTTCTGCAACAAAGTTAATGCGAAACTATCGGAGACTAGGATTCTCCTTCACCTTAAAAAAATGAGATAATTCTCTTTTCTCTATATATACTTCTTCCCTCCTTCTTGCTCTTATGAGCTATGCAATTGCAGAATACTTCAGCAGTAACATGATAGCTGCTGCATCAGAAAGTAAAAATCGCCCAACAGAACAGGCAGCTTGTAGAAACAAATCTTTTGGAGACCTTTGCCAGACTCTGCCAGTGGGTTAGGAAGAATATCACATGTAAGCATATACCAAGACCCAAGTGATCATACACATTCTGTGCCATGGAATACCACAATAAAAAAAGAGTCAGATAATTCCCAGAACTGTCAGCTTGGTAATAAGAAGGAGGGAGGCCAGACCCTCACGTTCAGGTTGAAAGTCGGAAGTGTTAGCACAGATGAGTCTTGCCTCACAGTTCCCTGTCAAAATGAAGGGTGTCCATATGAGTGTCCTGTTTGTCTCCTGAGAGCTTGTATAAACTGTCCCTGGGAACAAAGACTACAAATAAGCTCTTCCAGCCCAGCCTTTGTCTCAGCAAGAGTCATTGATGCTAATGATGTAAGAATTAGGGCTGATCAGGAGCTCACTGTAGGTAGGTGTGAGTCCCTGTATGGGAAGATATTTGAGTGGTGTCTGAGGTTTATGCACTCATGTTCCAGGAAAGGGTTTGGGATGTTGACTTTTGTGCTGCTGAAACCTACCAGAGTGCTTATTATATCCTCACTAATAGATTTCCTCTCAAGCCATGCTTGTCATCTTACTTTTACACTGTGCTTCAGCACAATGATGTTAAATTATTTCAAGAGAGCATTAAAAAAAGCAGAACATCATCTTGTCTTTTCTGATTCACTTTTCTGTTCACAGGACACTTTCTCTACTTGCGAGCAGACAGCAATCAGACGAGTGGCGTGGCCAAGGCCTACAGTACCAGCTTGCCAGCCAGGATTGCCACTGAAGGCTACCAGGTATATCACTCTCTTAGCACCTTTGTGGGGTTAACCATCAGGCTGTAGGCACTGTTTGAACAATTAGCCCATTCTCCTGTGCATCTGCACACTCTGTGAAACACTGGAAAGCAGAAGAGTTGGCTATGCCACCTAGCTAGCTACTTCTTGAAAACTGGAAAGGAGACGTGAGGTGCATCCTCAGTAAGTGAAAGCAGGAACCCCAAATCAACTCCTCAGTATGGAAAACTCCCCGGCCTAACTGTACCAACTATTCCTCTGAAGGGTACCCAGCACCTGAATTGTATGGGGTGGCCTTGGTTTGTAGGAAAGGGAGCTGGCTGTCTGGGCTGTCGAGCCATTCAGTATACCTGCTGCTGAGACTTCTCTTCATAGATTCTGCCATACTTTTGTAGGAGCTAACAAACTTGAGAGTTTCACTGAGAACAGGAGTGTGAAGTTAGTAGGCATTAGAATTTCCAGGAATAGATGAAGATAATAAACTTCTGTTCACACTCTTCAGGAATTTCAAAAGGTGAGGGCAACCTGGCATGGATAAAATCACATAACCTGCCTTCAGCCCAAATCTCTGCAAAGAATAAGGGGAGCTCCAACATGCTGGAATTAAAAATATTAAATAATATTGTACTCATAACACTTAGGGAAAATTGAGCTGTAAGTTTGAACTGGAGTCCGGCCCCGCTTTGATGCCTCCTAATTAGAGCTGGCAAAAGAAATATAGTGCAGATGCCAAAAATGTAACTTCAGCATTTATATTTATTTATAAATCCAGGTCAAGTTTGTTGGGTAGTTCCAACAAAATAAAATGTACTTTGAGCTAGGTTCACAAAACCAGGAGGAGGAGAAGCAGTAACTATTGGTTGTGGTGTACAGGTCACAGGAGATCCGGACCCATTCTCTCCTCCACTGGCAAGGATTTGAACCTGCATTTCAGGCGCAAGGAACTTCCAGTGGTTGTTCTTTGCAGTGCACGCGTGTGTGTTCTCCCTTTCCTGCTGGTGCTCTCTGTAATATACAGAGCAGCTGAGCGCTCAAAGTAGTGGTGGAAACAGCAGTTCTCTCTTGCTCTGTGGCAAAGTGGAAGTGGTTGCTGCAAAGAAAGAGGAACGAGTCCTGCTTCAAAATATTCTTTGGCTTGGTGATCAGGTTGCTCACCTGTCATGTGGGTGCTATGGTCCAGATGGTGCCTGTGAATTGGAGCAAGTATATGGATTGAGGTTTCCTGTCTCTAGACACAGCCTAATTCCTCATTTCAAGGGCATTTGGGGCAGGGCAGCTCTCCCCTTGGAGTGCTTTTGTGCCCTATAGTGCCTGGGTATAGATTGAACCATGTCAGTGCAACACATTAACCTGGGTGGTTACATTGGGAATCCTTAAAAGATTTAAGCTGTGGTTCAAACCATTTCACAGGAATCTTTAAGCTGGTGAGAACACTGAAGAGGAATGCAGTTAGGATTGTTTTTCTGCAATAACCTAACTCTAGTGGAAGCATTGAATGATAAGCGTTTCTTGAGTTTAAGCCTGTGTTCCTCTGCTTTACTACTTTTTGTTCCTGAAGGAGCTAACAAGGAAACCAGTGCTCTCTCACCCAGATGGTGTCTGAGGCCACGGATATTGTTATTAGTGGTTGGAGAACAGCTGCCTAACAAGAGCGTCAGTCAGGGTCTCCACCAAGAAAATTCTGTGCTAAGAACAGTGATGAGTCATACACAAGCAATGGGGGCCTTAGTGGTGTGTGTGATCAAATGGTTTAACCCAGGATCAAAGGTTTGGTGTCTCAAATCCCCAGGGAGGGGAGAAGTGAGTACCTTTCCCTTTTTATCACAGGATACCATTCTTTTTCTCTTCTTCCTCTATTACAGATCCAATTCTCGGTGCATGTTTTTGGCAGCTACAATGGTACCGTCTCCTTCTCTGTCAGGGAAGAGATAAAGGGACCTCCAATCACCTTGCCAATGTGGGAAAGAGCAGGGAGCTGGAGTGACCACTGGTTTCTCATCACCTTACCAATGCCAGTGCTTCAGAACCGGTAAGAGCTCCACTGGCAGCACCCAGGGTTATCTCTAGAGATTTAGTAAACTGTTGCTGTCTTTCTTGTGAAGCATCAATTTCATTCTTGCCTTCTTCTAGGGCCATTTCTACTGAAAAATTGCAATTCTGCTTGCTGAGGAAGTATTCTGTCACACGTGCATATCTTCGTGCACATACACAGTTTAGCTCAGCACAAGCCCATACTGTGTGTCTGCACTTACAAGCAGCCTCAAACGGTGCTTGTTTGGGAATAGCAAGTGTCTCTACTAGAAACATTTTTCCCAATCTGAGAAAGCCAGTATACTCACAGTGGTAAAGTGCTCCCAGTAGGGAAACAGCTACATTAGCAGAGCTGCACTTTGTACTCCCACAATAAAAACAGCCATGTGAGTCAAGTGAGTGGTAAAACCACAGTTTAGCCAATACGACTGTCCAGTCTAGGATCTACATCAGTGCAGCCTAGGCAACTGGAGATCATTCATTGCTACATCACTGATGCAACAATCTCAGGAAAAGTCCATTGCCCAAATCTTGCTTTTGCACTAAAGTTTTCACAGTTTTAGATGTGAAAATACAGCATGACATTGGTTTTCAAATGAAATCAAATATTGAAGATTCAAAGAATTTCAGCCCAATCCATTTTTAATCAGATATTTCTCCTCCTTCACCCAGAGTCATTTGATCTCAAACCACGTAGCTGGTGTTGGCAGCTGGTTATTTTTCACGACACAAACGATTTTTAAATTGCTCCAATCTGGTTTTTTGTGTCTTCCTCAGAAAGGCTTGTTTCACATGACACTTAAGACAAAAAAATCTCAAAGTCTACGTAGTGAATATTATAAATGGAAAAATAGCTACCTAATATTGGCAATAAATAATGTCTCAAAACTTCATGGATTAGAAGGTGTGAGGGGATTCCTTTTAACTTCAAATATTCTCTGCATCTTTGTGTAAAAGGCTAAGGGATTTGGGTCTGGAAGTGATAGCAATTCAGACCTAAGCAGCAGTAAAACTCAGAGAGAATGTTGTTCCACCCTCTTTCTAGTTTAATTTCGTGATTACCTTTGGTCTCAGCATTATCATGTGTTCACCATACGCACCTTTGCCATGAATTATTCCTTTAGGATAGGATAGGTCTGCATGCTGGCAGCATATTTAATATTCTTGTCTGACACAGTCTGGAGCCCTGTAGATTAGCATCTGTTTAGTTCTGCATATGTAAAGTATGACTAGTGAATTTGTCCAGAAGAGCTCTTTTCCCCAGGCACTTTCATGTGGACCTAACCACAGCAGAATCCTAGGGGCTCTTCAAGACGTATTTAAAACCTTCTGCCTCCTCTGATATACAGTCCCTTATGCTTGTCCCTTGAAGCCTCAAATTTCTGCATCAGCCTTCAGTTCTGAAGGGAAATGGATCTTCTGTCACAGGAGGGAGTGGACAGCAAGAGGCTTTAGGGAGCACTAGCCAGCACTGCATGAAAAAAATTGATATTCAAATACTGTAATGTTTGAAAGAGTTGAGCACTTGGACAAAATGAAAGAAGTAGGTAGGTCATGCATGCGTGTATTATGACAGTCTGTTTCAAGTAGTTCTATCTTGTTTCATTTCATAGAACCTTTTTGTATGCCATTTTCAAATAAATTTAAAACTGATGTGGCACAACAGTGACAATCACTGTGGGTGAGGCTGGAACTATTCAATCTAGCAAGCAGACCTGTGCTACCTGAGCTAGCCAAGTGACTGACAGCAGTAATAAGTTGTCATTTGCTGCACTGATCTATAACAGAAACAGAAGAAGCACACACGTTGCTGGAAGGTGTTGCAGCTATTTGCCCCAAGTAAGAAAACCCTGGTCTTTGTGTTCCCAGGACACTTGGGCTCTATCCTAGACCTCTTGTCTTGTTCTTTCCATGCTCTGCTCCTTCTGTCCCATCTCACCTGCTTCTGTGAGCACTCAGTGCCTTTATTCCTTGTTTTCATATACTTGGTCTCTCCCCCTTCTCCTTCAACCTCCCATTTGTGAACCCATTTTATCTGTCTTATGCTTCCAGTCATAATTTCTCTCTCTGAATTCCTCCCTGCTTCTTGTTTCTATCTGTCTTCTAGCAGGTGCTATATCTCTGTGTGTTGGGTTTTTTATTAAGTCTGACTCCCTTCCCTGCGCTTCCATTCTCTTCTCCTCCTAGTTATCTCTTGTGTGCTTTTATTTCGATGATCCCAAACGTACAGTAAAGGTTTATTCCCAGTCTTCCTGTCTGGCTGTTTGTTTCTCTCCGTAGATCTCAGAGCCAAGCCCCCCGCACACCAAGTCCAAACTCCCCTGCTATAAAGTTCCTAGGGAGCTTCCCAATCTTTCCAAGATGCCACCTTGTTCGCTCTGGATTCGGTTTAGCCAGCTTCTTTCTCCTATTTGGCCAGGGTCAGCAAAAGAAAGGGCTGGGGAAGAAAAAGTGTATTCATTAATTTGGAAAGGCAGTTCTCACTTCATGTAGCTGAAGCAGGACCTGACATAGTAATTAAGAGCACTGCCATGGAACGTACCATTTAGCCCCAGACTTTAAGATATCCAGGGAAGAGGAGACTGCAGGATTAAAAAAATTCTACCAGGCATGGAAGTGTCAAGGACATTTTACTAAAATTTGAATAGATTCTCATTCAAATGGGAAAAAAAAGCTCATCCCTGCCATGTGACTCTTCCTCACAAATTTCAGATCCCACTTCCAGTACCTGGTAGCACAAAGCACTTAAAAAGTTGTCAGCATTTTTGAGCATGGTCAAAATGATGAATTCCTCCATTGCCTCATCCTCAACACTGGCAAAACATTTTGACTGCTAGGCAAGTCATACCAAATCACCCAAAATAGAAAAGTTCAGCCTAAATTGGCTTAAGGTTGGTGAAGTTGCAAACAATTGTAAACAGAGGCTTAAGGTTGGCAAAGTTGTAAACAGAGGCATATGGTGAACGTTGCTGTACAGTCTTAGTACAGTTTGGTATAAACCTCCATGAATGACTTTTCGTGGGTGCTGTGGCAGCTTTCCTCAGTCATGCAAACTCCAGCAATGCTGTGCTTAGGGAATTTTTTAGCACAGAGTTTGGGCTGGCATGCCATTTTCCTGTATGCTGAATCTTTAGGAATCTCCTGTCCTTCTCTTGCTGTCCCCGAGAAAATATGAAAGGCCTATATTTTTCCCTGGTTCCTTGAAGGGATGATAGCCAGTAGCAAAGTGGGTGGGAGGGGACAGATCACACAAGGAGAAAGGGTAGAGATGAATTGCAACACAAGTAGTTGTTGTAGCAGGACATGAATGGCTTCGTGGGGCCAGGAGGAGAGAAGCCTTAGCGGATAGAAGGAGGAGGCCATGGCGGGGATATATAAGTAGTTGTTAGGCAACAGCGTCCTCCAATGAATTTATCTCTTAGGAGAGAAGGAAGACAAACTACACAGTTCGCTGATCAGCCTCCCAGATGGGCATCTAGCTACTTGGAAAACTGCTTCTAGTGATCAGCTGGCAAATTCAGTCACTTGGTTCACACACATAGGGAAAAAGGCTGCTAGGAGAAGAAAATCAGGCAGGCAGAAGACCAGACATCAGAGAGCTGAAGAGTGTAATATGCTGGAGTCAGCAAAATGAGCTCAATGAGCATGAACGCTGGAAACCCCTCTGGCTAACACAGCACAGAGTTCAAAAGGCAAATTCCTCCCCTTTTTCTGAAGTTGTGAAGAAGGGGAGGCATACAGAGCCCAGAGCTTATGAGATGACTATTTTCATGCACTGGAGGAGGGGAGTCATTCCCCAGGCTCCCACTTGTACTCAGCTGGAGCAGAAATCTACCTCGTAGCACAGTGCCGTGGACACTCTCCTGCTCTTATTCCATGGACCAGACACAGTAGATTGACCTGACCAAGGGTACACTGCAATGCAGGTGTCTTAAGTAAGGGGTAGGCTGTGGTGCTGTATCTATGGCTGTGGGTCCTAGAAGTGCCCTAGTCCTGGACTCAGGGTGCTGTGACTTTCCCTTCCGTCAAATGGCTGGGGAAATTACTGTCCACAAGGTCTGAAAATGCAAAAGTATTGCTAAGTCTGCCAATAAAGAGGCAAGTTTCTGTAGGAAGGGCATTTAATGGCAAATTCCCCTGCTAACCCCATATCTAAGAGAGTGGTCATTCAAGGGACCCTTGATTTGCTTTTGCTGCACCAACACTTACTCCCAGAGTGCTCAGATCCTGTAGGTGTGAATGCTTTCTTTTAAGCACAGGGGGACATTCCTGAGTTGGGGTAAAAGCAGCTTATCTCTAAAGATTTTGATGCAGCTATGCAACATTATATTAACTGTGGATATGGACCAACATTTGGCTGGTGGGTGGAATACGCACACATACTTTATTGCCACTAATTTGGAACAAGTGTGTTCCTAGGCTGAATGATTAATGTGTTAGGCAGGTCAGTGCTTGATTTCTCATAAATCATCATTGAGCTTCACCAGTGACAGCAGTGGAGATCCTCTCCTTATGCTTTTAATAAGCTCTAGATGGACTGGACATCAGACATCTGTTTATTTCTGAAATTTAATGAAAAACAATTCAGTCCTATCCATTAGAAGGAGATCTTTCAGCCCATTTTCTTTCCTCCATGTGAATTCAGAATGTGGCAATGCACATGGGACATGACAGACCTCCTAGATAAGTAGCTAACACCTGGACATGGTAAAAAAAGATGAGACAGCCCAGAAAGCGAACACTTCAGGGAGTTATGGCTGAAATTTTAAATTTCCTGACCTTCAGCCGGAATAAACTCATGTCACATGAGTTACACTGGCTGAGGATCAGGCCCAAGATTCCTGTCTATTTGGATATTGTTGTTCTGTTCAGTTTTTATTCTGGCTATCTCTTTGAGGATGGAAAGAAGGAGATTCTTTTTTCCCTCCCCTTTTGCACATGTCTAACTCTCTTACTGTTTATAGCAATTGAATAAGGATGATTGTGTATAAATATTAGTGAGGGACAGCAGCTTGTGTTTCTACATGTGTGTGCAGATAGCAGGGGAAGTAGTGCTCTCATCCTTGTTCTCCAGTGAAATGTGGCATTATATGAGTGTTGGTTAGTCCTTACTAACTGTTGATGTGTGGATAAGATTTCTAGCAAGCCCTTTTGGCTGCTCAGCTGGGCTTGTGTGGAGGAAGCATTCTAAATAGTGATGATCATGATTCGATGATAAGGGAACATTGTATTTTTAGGTTGGTTTTTTTTTTCCTCCCTGTCCCTTTGTCTGTCTTCTCTAAAACTTCTGTCTTGTTGCAAAGGTTTCAACTGCAACTCCTGGCAACCTGGGGCTGGAATTCCCAAGCTGACATTGCTATCGACAATATTACGTTTGGACTGGACTGCTTCACTAACGGTGAGCCACAAATGTTGCAGATCCCTTAAAGAATTTGAGTAGCATAGTCAGCATCCCACAGATCCAAGACAGACATGCTCTGTTCCCCCCACAGAGTGCACATGGATCAGTTGTGTAAGCTTTTACAGCACAATGCCATTTTATCTCAGACCTACTGAAGTTTGCTAGTAGAGACAATTTTAAAGTGTGTCAGAGTCTCCTAGTGCTCTTTTTCTCTAATCTGGTATATCCTATATCACATAGTTGAGACCTGTCTGTGTGTCTTGGCAAGAAACATTGGACTTATTCCTTAGCCCCCAAATGGAAGGATTACATCACACTGTTCTTCAGCAGTCCCCACTGACCTATGCACCCTGGCAATTGATAGCTGAAGGGAATTTGTGGAAATCAAGGGGGAAAGTCACCGTATTTTAGTGGAGAAAAGGAATAAAATGAAGAAATAAAGTGACTCTCTAACAGTAAAGTTTAGATTATTGCAACAAGTTTGTTTTAACCTGCAAGGAGGAACATCAGCTGTCACTGCCAGATATATAATGGACGTGGTTTCCTTTGCTTCATTACTGCAATTGCGACCGACAACAATGTATTCCACTGAAAAATGGAACTAGTGCTACCCTTTGAAGCATGTTAGCAAGAGTTAGATTTTCTTAGCAGACAAGTGGAAAGAGCTTGGATACTTGAACCACTTGCAAATATTAGAAACTGCCTTCTTTTTGTCTCTGGAGAAAAGACATATATGCTCTGTTATAAAGGAACTGGAGAATATGCAGCACTTGAATTGTGACTTCTGCTGCAGACAAAATGTGCATCAGTGGTCCTGTGCCACTCTTCATGTGTCACTACATCCAGTATGTCAGCATTTAGGTTAATAACATGTCCCTGCAGAGGTTAGCTGCAGCCTAACATAACATGTGGGAAGGCTTGTATCAAAACAGACGTGTTAAAAGTTCATCAACAAAAGCCCCTTTTCTCTCCTACCTTCGTCTGATTCAGTCTCCTGTTCTCTGTCCCTTTGTTCTGTGGGCACTGAAACCACCCTTCTATAAAATGCTGAGCGTGTACATTTTCATTTGAAATTAAGAGGAAGAGGTGTTCCTTGACAGTAATGTCATTTGTTCACTCCAGCTCCTTAACACCTCTGGCTCCCAAACCCTTTGGGACCTCCATGCTAACACTTTGTTTTGAAATCTTTTGAGGAAACTGCAGGGAGTGATTCCAGATGCTCTTGTGCCAGCTGATGTGCACCCAGCTGCTGGAGTTTACTGCCCTCCTGAGAGCAAATGCAGCCTCCAGTTTACCCACAGACATTTTGTGGGCTCTGGTGTAGGGACATATCCTTTGGCAAATACATGGGGCTTAAATGCCACTGCAGCAATGTTATCAGAGCTTGTCCATTAGATCGCTCAAGTTACTCCTCATTTTCAATTAGTATAAATCGCACTGATGTCCAGGAGAGGTTGCCACTTACCCCATCTGAGGGTGTGACCCAGAGATGTGTGACTCATGCAGAAGAAAGACATCACCAAGGAGACATGTTTCTCGGAAGCCTTGCACTTGCCACTGTTCCTTGAATCCTCTTTGCAAATTGATGTTTTCTCGCCTCTGAAAGCAACCCCCTTGCATTTGTCTTCTCATGACTTTAATTCAGTTAGGTTGCAGAGAAGCCCAGCAGCTCTGCTGTGTTTTCAGTAATGAAATTATTTCTCCCTGGCAAGGAGAGGTTTCAGATGTCAGAGATGGAGCCAATTAAGATCCAAGCAGTGTATTCTTTGCGTGAGGGCAGCAGGAAGGATGTATGGCAGGAAGGAAGAATTCGCTGCTTGCTAGGATGTAAATATTATTTTCTCCATCTATTTCAATCCTGTAGCTCAATTGCTCTACAAAACCCAGTGCAGACTTTGAAAGCACTGCTTGTCTGTATGCAAGCTGGGAAAGAAGGTGAGGTTTTCCATATACCTCAAAATCAAGAGGAAAGATTCAGTAAGATTTAGGAGGAAAACAAGTGGGTAGTGAGGGCAGCTCAGGGGACATCAGTAAGGATAAAACCCAACAGACCATTTTTTGGATGGCAGCTCCTGGGCAGTGACAGATGTTTTCCCTGTGAAAAAGGTGAGATGAAACCACCTTCTGGTTCAAACAATCACGTTGTGTAAGACGGTGTCACAGGCCAGATGACATGGGTCATCTGGTTGTTGTGAGAACTTATAGGGGACAGGCATAAAGATATGTTATCGGTTTAGTGAATTAGTGCTTTCATAGGAAGAGGTCTGAATTTTGAGTGTCTAAATATGAAAATTTGGGCTGGCATGGCAAATAGAGTGCTGACTGTTGCCCTCCTCAGTGCTTATGTGGTCACTGTTCTTACTATTACCTTTTGGTGCTCCGAGCATTATATTATTCCAATTAAGATCACAGGTCTGTGGTCTATCAAAGTGCACTCTACTGCCCTGACCTAGGGCATTTTGTTCTGTGCAAATTTACAATTTTCCAGAAGACTGGTTTATAAATGGCAAGGCTGTCCAAAAAGAGCTTTTGTATAACATATCTCTAGTTCTTGACTTTGGAGGCCCCAACCCAGCAAAGTCTGGTACTGTTGACCTGCCAGTCTCATTGTTTGAGGTGAATGGTGGGGGGTGATTCAAGCCTCATTACTGCCTTATTTCGCTGATTTAAGGTGGTGGTGACTAGAAATGCGATAGATCAACCAAAGGGATGGGAAAGGGGGAAGCCGGTGCAGCTTCCTCACTCTGTCCCACTCCAGGACAAGCTGGAGAAGCTTCCAGGAATACTGCAACCTGCATCAGTAAGGTGAGATCTCTGAGGAGACCATGCACACTTCGAGGATCCTGTGGGCACGTTACTCTGATTAATCCCGGCTCCAGGACCACTATATCTTTTTTCATTACAGTCCCAGAGACAGGGAAGTAGGAGTAAATTACTTTAGCTCTTTACCTGCAAGAGATGTCCTGTCTTTCTCCTTTACACTTCCTTTGTCCCTTTACAGTGTGGAAATCAACAACATTAGCTAAATCCTGGAGAGATCTGGAGAAAGGAGTCCTGTGCTCTTCTTATTTTTCTGATATAGGTACACCTTAATATAAATTAAGTCTTGTTCCCTTCTGTTCACTTACAGTCAACATACTGACTGTCAGAGGAGGAAGTGGAAGCTAAAATAGACTGGAACATCTGCCCCTGGATCCCAGGGCTACACCACGTTTGTAGAAAATGCCACCTTACAAATTCATGTCTGACAGCGTATAAAATATCAGCCTTCTAAGAGTTAATGGCTCATGTGGACAGGGTGACGCTCAGCCTGTCTTGCAGCTTGTCTGCTGCTGAGCATGGAGGAGACAGAAGCTTTCTTCCAGTCAGTTGAGGGTTGGAGACTGTTTGGAGAAGGAGGAAAGATTGTTTGTTTGGAAATGGGGCATTGCCTTAGGATACTCAGTTGGGATGCTGCAAAAAAATCCATGCAGACACACAGACTGACTCTCTATTTCAGAGAGTGATTTACATTCCTTCGCTCTGGCAAACATAACTAGACTTCTTGTACGTCTCTAAGTATCTGAAACGGTTGTGACCTTTGGGATTCATAATTCAGTACAGGCCTTGGGAGACCAAGCATCTTTTCTGGCCATGCATTGTCTTTTTCATTTGGTTTTCCTTCTTGTCTTTGATCCAGATCATTTGTTTTGGGTTAATTTCATTTTTCACTGGCTTGACAACTCCATCCATTGAAGTTCTCTATCTCAGTATGAACCGAGTGTGTCAGTACAAAGCTCCCTTTTACTTCCATCCATCAATGCGCTTTCAGTCAGACCTGGGGGGAATATTCTCAGGAGTAAAAGCTCAGCAAGGTCTCCATGCTTCAATTAGTTATTTGGCCTTTCTGACACAGCTAACAAGGGTGTTAATTATCGCTTTTTAGAGCAGTGGCTTTGCGGCAGAGATAATTGTCCAGCTGGAACTGAGTGAGTCTTTTTTGAATAGAGCATCAAACAGCTGTTAGATTCTCACAACTGGAACAAATTGAAATATTTGAAATGTTTTTCAACTAATGAAAAATGTTCGGTATTAAATTAACTGAGGGCTCATAAAATGGAAGGAAGTCTCTCCTTTTTCTTACAGAGGTTTTCCAATCAAAGATCTGCATAAAAATGAGTAATTTAACTATTGAAACAGGATGCTTGTAGATCATAAGACAAGGGTTCAGTTATTACTTTTTCCTGTTGTAGGGCAGCTTCGGTTGTGTGGTGTTCTCAATGCATTCAGATGCTTTGCATCAGCAATTGCTTTGAAGTCCCTCCTGTCTGAGAAAGGGCTGATTTTTAAAGGCCTGTTTCACTGGTCAGAAACGTAGCACTTTGCTCTGTGTTTTTCAAAAAGGTTTGTCCAAAGATTTGCTGCTTGTGTCAAGGGTATGCTGCTGTTTCTTAACTGTGTATGGTAGTGAGACATGTAATTTTATTCAGTATCTTATTCTCTAAGCAAGGTCTGAGGTGCTCAAAGTTGGTTGCTGAGAGGGGAGCTATCTGTTAGGCTGGTTTACTTACCATGACGCCATTCAGAACCAAAGATAAGAATTTTTGCTATCACTCTTCTTTACACCTCTACTCGTTTGCCTGTCCAGAATTGTCACCTGCCCCTTTGACCAGCAGAGCATCAATACTTGGTATCTGTTCTCCCACACTATGCTTTTCCTAAAGTCCATTGTAATCACAGCCAGCGCAATTTGCTGGCTGAGCTTATTCTGCAGGTGAGCCTGCATGGGATAACATGGAGAGTTGTGTTCATGTGAAGACCCACTGATTTCAGCACAGATGCAAGTAGTTAACCCAAGACATGGGCCCAAAAGAATAATAAAAAATTATTATTGTTTAAAACACCTTTTCTGCCCAAGGTATTATTTACTTATTTTAACCAAATGGTTATACTTGGTTCATTCGTGTGATCTTTAAATTTTCCATCTCTCTTTCCTACCATCCTCCCATCTCTCTCATCCATTCTACAAACTATTACAGGAAGACAACCAAATCATCTTGGTGGGAAGCGCCAGTACCCACGGGAGATCAGTATCCTGGATGAGCATCTTCTGAACCCCCTGGAAGAGCCTTCCCTCCCAGGTACATGATTCAGTACGGAAAACCTGTCTCTTGGCTATAAAAGGTGGCTCACTTCCCATCTCCTGTGTGTGACCTGCCTGCCCTATAGCAACAGGGCGACTAAATATAATCCATCCCAAAGATGTGGAGACCATGTCAGGTAGTCTCTGTTCGGCTACAGGGCAGCAGTTTGTTGGAGCTCAACTCACCAGTTCTTAAATGGCAGGACCTCTTTAAAGAGAAGCAGAATCTTCAAGTAAAGAAGCTTTAAGTAAAAGCAGAAACTGCATGACTCAAATTCGGAGTGCACAAAAGCCAGCTCAGGAATGAAAGGTGTAGAACAGTATAGAAAGCTGGGGATAGAAAGAGATTTACTGGGACTTGGTGAGCAGTGAAGCTGAACCTAATGAGTGGAGAATAGAGGTATAAAGATGAAGATCCAGGGTGGGGAATTAAGTGAGGATCTGGGAATCCACTGAGGAGAAAAACTGGATAAAGAACTAGGAGAATGGGGGACACTGGGGACCAGTTTACTGATAGCAGTAGAGACTGCCGCTCTGGAGGATAGATAACAACTGTGTGGGTGAGAAGAGCTGTCTAAAGGAGGGCCTGAGGACGGGAGGTTGTGCTTGAGGATGCTTTGCTGTGTGTGACTGCACCACCTCCTGAAATCCGTGTCCACCTGAAATGTGACAATCTGTACTGCTGTCAGTTCCTGTTAGTTCAAGGGGCAGAGATTTCTGTAACGTAGCTAACACTCTCACCCTGATGAGCCATCTGCGTGTTCGCAGGATGACATCTGTTGGGGATAGTTTTGCTTTCCTTTTCCTTTAAACAAGATTACAATTTTTCTTTTAAAGGTTTGTGATTTTTACTCCTATTTTAATCATTCAGCCCTTAAACAGTTCTACGTCTTACTCTGGTCCTTGTGCATGCACTGCATCACACAGTTTTTAGATACATCATTGAATAGCTTTATTCGTAGGCCTCATCTCATTCACTGGACAAGATGGATATGTTTGGGTCTTGGACAAGGGTTGTGAAATGGAGGAGATGGTTATCTGCTGCATTGTTGTAGAGACAGAAGAATAATCCGTAATGAGAGCCAGGAAAAAATTTGCTTGGAGGAAAAGGGCCCCTACTGAAAGCAGCAAGAGGCTGTCCTCTTGGCTGTTGCTGCTGCCACAGGGTTCTTGTGCAAGCCTGAGACAAGTCACTTGAAACTTTCACCACCTTTCACAGATGGTCACTAGTTGTAACGGCAGATGTTTTCAACCTTTATTTCTGTGTATATGCATCAGTTCTCATCTGGAAAGTTGAATAATGTCTCCTTGCTTCATACTGGCACTGAGAAGAAAAATTTGATAATGTCTGTGAGACACTGGGATAAACCCCTTCTCAGAAGTCTGTCCCCCCACCCCAGCTGATGGGGTTTATCTGCAGTCCATGATTTTTTTAAATAGTGGGCAGGAAATAAGGTGAGAGGGGAAAAAAGCAAACAGTGACTATATACAGAGCAGTAATTGTGCTATGACTAGAATAAAGTTGGGATAATATAAGTACTCTGTGATCATATAATTAAGGGTGGCATCTTAGTAGATTGTATTACGAGGGAGCTGCATTAAAATTGAACAGAAAAATTTAACTTTAGCATGTATTGGCTTTCAAGTCCTCAACATTGTAAATGCAAGTTTAAGCATTTTTTTGTACGATTATAATAATAAGCATGTGATCAAGTAGACGTATTGAGTTTTAAAGCCCTGTAGATACCATATACTGCTCCAACGTGGTCTTTCTCTTAATCATCTGATTTTTTATATAAAAATCATTAATGTTCTTTGTGAATAATAATAATGTGAATTTTGTTATCGAAGGATCATTAAGGAAAGATATCAACAGGAACAGTTGTTTGTTTCAGTGACACTTGCCCTTTGGTTATATAGTTCTGTGAGTTATTGCACATGTCTGAGCAATAAAGGGAAGCTCACATCTGCCCCTGCTCTTGCTGTTTTTGTCCCAGGGGACACATCTGTTGTTCTCTGGTGGTTCACAACATGTGGTGCCAGTGGTCCACGCGGGCCAACTCAAGCTCAGTGCGACAGTGCCTATAAGAACAGCAACGTGTCGGTGACTGTGGAGAAAGAGGGCAGGCTCCGGGGAGTGCAAGTCTGGAAAGTGCCAGCCACAAACCGATACAGGTGAGTATCTGTGTGCTGGAGAGGCAGCCACGTTTAACTACTTTTTGTTTGTGGAGTTTCAGCAAGCAGTGTGGGACCTTCTGCAGTGAGTGCGTGGAGGGGGCAGTGAAGTAAAAGAGAAATAGGAGCGCTAGCTGTAAGGATCTGTGTCTGTGAAGCATGGAAGGGTGGAGTGGTGACTTAGAAGAGATCAGAACAGGAGTGTCTGTGGGCTTGCGGTCAAGTGGAAGTTTCAAGTGCCATCATTTCAGTCCCGAAGCCTTGGTCTTCTAGATTTTGCTACCCTAGCTCATGCTATTTGTTCCTGAAGTCTCTGTCTCCAGTGCTCTGGTGTAGAGTTTGTCTATTCTCTTGAGCAGCCTCAGCTGCGTGGGTCTCAGACAAAGAATAGCCATGAGATGCTGCAGCAGGGGAGCCTGCTCTGGAGCAATGCCTGTTTGGGATTGCAGGCTGGAGAGAGCTTGCAGATAGAATTGCTCTGGGGATGAGAAGTGTGAGATTTGCCTCTTTAACTACTTACTTTTTCTTCCAGGATTTCTGCCTATGGAGCAGCTGGAGGGAAGGGAGCCAAAAACCACAATAAGCGGTCCCACGGGGTCTTCATCTCGGCCACCTTCCAGCTGGAGAAAGATGAGCTGCTGTACATCTTAGTGGGGCAGCAGGGGGAGGATGCCTGCCCTGGGGTGAGGGCTGCACAAGCACATGTGGGCAGAGGCTTTGCAGATACGATTCAGTGGGTGGCTTGGGTTTGGTGATGAAAGATAGAAATCCCAGGATCTAGCATTGAAATCCAATCAGGAGACTGGGAAGAACCAATAAACCAAGTTAGAAAGAATCTCAAAACAAATATAAAGAACTCTGAAAAGAAAAACAATCCCAAAATGCACAAACAAATACGAAGCCCACAGGAACTTTGCTTTAAGCTCCTGGTGTTTGAAATAAGTTCTTCAACAGCTTGCTTCTGCTTATTTTAAGCAGGGAGCTAGTAGGCGAGAGTTGTGTGCTCCCTCTCTTATTTTTCCACAGCCTAGGTTTCTTTCTGTCTGCCAGGGTTTCAGATAATTTAATATTAGTTATGGAAGCATCCAGCAGCGTTGTGGCTGCACTGTCTTAGATACTCTCGAAGTTTAAATACTAAGGTCTGAATCCAAAGCCTATCAAAACCAGTGGGAATCTTCCCACTAACTACAGTGGCCCCTGTATTAGACATATGTAATGACAAAAAACCCACTCATGACAAGCAGAAATTGGTGACATGAATGCTTATATATGTGTCTTCTAATGCAAGACCCAATGATTTGAAAGTCCTTTTATTGCTTAGGCTCAAAAGTTGTCTCTTTTCAGCATGAATTCTTTGGTATTGCCTCTTGCTGATATCTGAGTGCATCTCTTGTCTCCTTTCAGGGCAATCCTGAAACCCAGAAGATCTGCTTAGGGGAGTCATCTCTCATTGAAGAAGATTACAAAAAAAAAAAGGACCTGAAGGACTGGGCTGGAGGAGGTGGGGGTGGAGGAGGAGCAACCTACGTCTTTAGAGTAAGTATTTCCTCTTTGCATCCTGCCTGAGCAGTGTCCAGCAGAGCAACTAGCTTTCACTGTCAGTCATGGCACATGATACTCAGTTCTTAAAAAAAGGTGATGAAAAAGGAGTCTCCGTCTCCCTCCTCTCTCTCTCCCTCCCTCCCTATCCTTCTGTCTCTCTTTGTCTTTTTGCCTTTTTAATTTAAATTCTTTATCTCTTTTCATATCCTTGATCATACTTGTCACTGTCACTAAGCTAGCTGAACTGGTTCCTCAGTTCTTGACAGCTTAGGTCTGGGAATAACACCAAGATCCCACTTTAATACTGGCAGCAGTCCTACCAAAAAAAAAAAACCCCAAAACCCCTGGTGTTCAGTTAAACAGTTATTTTTGTACACAGAAACACTGTGTAAAGCATTTTTGTAGTGCAGTTAGGAGACAATCAGTAGCATTGCCCTGGCCTTGGGCCACTCTTCTTTGGGATGCTTTCATGCTTTTTGAGTTTGTGTGAGTTCACATACCCAAGGGATGTGAAGTTTTTCTGATGTTTGATGGGGGGTTTTCCAGCAGAAGGATGGGATTTTCGAACCTTTGCTCATCGCAGCAGGAGGAGGAGGAAAAGCCTACCTGAAGGCTCAGGACAGCTCCCTGGATGACGTACCCCTGGAGCAATTTGAGAACAGCACTGCGGTACCTGGAGTCAGTGGGAAGACTGGGGCAGCAGGTGAGACGCTAAAACCACACAGGGTCTGAATCAGATGGCTGAATACCCAAGTTGTCCTGTAGGCATGAAGTGAGGGGCTTCTCTTTGGTCTTTTGGAGTTTTTCTGTGGCAGTAGTTATTGGAAATATGCTGGTAGTCTATAAAGGATGTCTTCTTATATGGTGTGTCACCAGATAAAAAGAGAATGCACAGGACAGGTGATGAGTGGTCCAGTAGAGGCTATTCCACAGGAGGGCTCCTCTCTTCTTTGAAATGACTCAGTGAAAATGATATTTGGGGGATGGAGCCCAGTCCTCCACACTGTAACAATGGCCTTTGAAGAGAAGACTTTTTCCCTGTTACTCTTCTGAAGCCCTATCAACAAGAATTATATTGTGGGAATTATACCAGAAATGCAACCTTATTTATAATCTTGTAACACCTGTGCCTAGAATCCCTTAGTAAGAGACAAAAAAGCCCGGTGGTTCTCCATCTCCTCCCGTAATAGCCTTATAGAGGAGCCGCTAGAGGAACATGAGGAAATCCAGTTTATTTTTTATTTCTCTGGGGAGCTCAGCATCTCACATGGCTGAAAGCCCTAACCAGTTATCCTGAAGGGCAGTGGTGGGCTCCTGATTTCCCTAATGCCACTAGAAATTGGTGCTAAGGTGCTGATTATGCAGCACATACCACAGGTTGTGCATTAGGTTTCCACTTTGTTATTATCCACGGCAACAAGGAGCTATTCTCTAATCCTTAAAGAAGGAGTTGACTTGAATGCATGCACTTAAGAAATTAATAAGGGCCAATCTCTGTCTCTTTACAGTATCTCTCCTTCTTTCATCTGCTTGTGCTTCCCTCACCTGTTCTTGTTTTGTTCTTTCACTCTCTGACTGTGAAGGTGGAGGTGGTGGCTGGCAAGATGAGACTCTGCTTCCTCAGGCTGGGAAGTCCCTTCTGGAAGGTGGAGAAGGCGGTCAAGCTTGTCCCCAAGCACTAGCCAAGCTCCAATGGGACACCTCTGGTGGCTTCGGTGGGGGAGGAGGAGCTTGTACTTCTGGTGGAGGAGGTGGAGGCTACAGAGGTAGGTCTGTTGGAGGAATAGTCATGCTGTCTAATTTTGAACCCTTCAGAGCACCTGCAGTTAAGGGCTAGAGCTCTCAGTGCAGTGGTACACTACTGCAGGAGGGGATTCACAGATGCTTCAAGCTGAATGGTATAAAACCTGCCTCACTCTCCACCATCTCTGTTTAATTGGGGAAATCAAGGTTATAGAAGTGTGCCTATGTTATTTAGTATTTGGAAGGTGTAAATCACCCCTTCATTTGTCCCCAGGTTGCCCAGGGAAAATGTTCCTTTTCTGTTTTCTATTTAAAGCAAATATATTTTTACCTTGCTGAATTGAGAAACCTATGTTGGAATAAGTCACTTCACTAGCCTTGGTCCTGGCTTGGCTGGGTCAAGTGAGTGTTTATCTGTCAAGGACACTATACGTGTTAATATATCCCTGGAAGGTTGCAGAGTGACCCCGGGTGATAAGAGCCAGGAATGAATGCAGCCCTTCAGAGGCATCATGTTTTTGCAGCACGCAGCACTGATCAGCTAGCCATACGGGCATGCCTCTGGCAATGATGATCTCACAGCTGGTGGGCAGGATGGCATCTCTTTTGTGAACCCCATTGGAGAGATCTTCTTGCATCCCCTGGCAGGTACAATATACTACTTCTTATTCCTCTTAGTTCTTTTCGTCCTCCTTTTTCCTTCTTCCTCTCAGTTTCCTCTTTCCTGCTCCCTCTCCTCCTGTCTTTGCTTTTTATGGATTTCATTCAGGCATATTTCACTCTGCAGACCAGATCTTTAGCTGTGGTCATTTCTTTAAATACATCTATAGTGCTCCGGGACCTTTTTCCTCTCGATCTCTAAGCCAGGAGAGACACCAGTCATCAAGTTCAACTGCACAACGTCAGTCCCAGGCATTTCCAGGTCAATTCACTTCAAGACCTCTCTGTTTGCTTAAGGGACCCAATCTCTCCTTCCCTCCTTGCTCCCCCCTAAGGTTTCTGACATGTGTCCACCATCTATCTGCTCTGCTGCAGAGAAGGAGAGAAGTTGTAGGTACCTGCTCTGTTTTTTTCCTTACCGGAACAAGATGCGAAAAGCTAAACTAAACCCGCCTGTTGTGTCTGGTTCCTCATTCAGCCATGGAGAGTCACGGTGAGGTAGAGGTTCAGATCTATCTTAACTGCAGCCACTGCCACTCAGACAACTGTAAGCGGGACCCTGACACCAACCTGCCAGTCTGCCAATGTGAGATGGGGGCTGTGCTGGCCAATGACAACGTCACCTGCACTGGTAAGATGTAGAGTTTTATCCTCATTGGATAATGTCTGTATTCTTTGTACTGTCTCTCCTCCTGGCTTTTTTGATGGTCAAATCCCCAAGTTACAGCTGGTGGCTCCAGTGAACACAGTGTTATAAGAAATGTCAGTCAAATGTATGACTGAAAATTCCTGATGTCCTTTCCTTACACACCGAGCCGCATCTCTATCATCATCTCCAAAATTCAGGTTTAGATTTGGTAGAAGGTAAAATATCTGTAAAGAGACACGGTGTAAATTTCCTGAATGGGCACAGTGTATCAGATATTTAAGCGTAAATACCTCTCCGGTATAACATACCACCTACTGCTGAGTTATTTAAGGCACAAATTACTTCCTTCCACAGCAGTTTCCCACTGTGCCTGTTCAGCTGACGCCTGGTGTTCACTGCTATTTCCTGACACAGTCTCTTGCAACTCCAAAGCATCAAGACTGTAGAGTTTCAACTTGGGAACAGTGGTGTTACCCATTAATAAAAAACTGAAGAATGGATAAGTGGTCTGTGTTTTATCAGATAGGTTTTTATCTTCACAATGTTTTTTAAATTATTTAGGTGTTTTTTCAACCTTCAGAGCTGTAGAGGGATTTGCTGTAGTTTTTATAAGATGGTCTGGCCATGATCTCTGTATTGTTTTCTGAAATAGGAGCAACCTTGAGAGGGATGCTTTACAGCAGCTCTGATTGTTTTCTGATTAATGCACCTCTATCTTTTCTTTTTCCAGTGCCCCAGAGTCCTATTCCAGAGGGAAACCTTCCTCTCCCACTCCTCCTAGCTGTGGTGGCTGTGATTGTGGTGCTTGGAATGATCCTCACTTGTGGCAGCCTATCTATCAGTAAGAAACACTTACTCCTTATCATCCTTTGACTTGGCTTTTCCCAGTTAAATCGGACAAAGGACATCATCCAACCACATGCTACTGCTTCTAATACTTGGAGCCAGAGTGCTGTGGTCTCCCAAATGGATGAGAGGGACAGGGAGAAAGAAGTCATAGGAAACATCTCCACCCCACAGTTAGGCACAAGCGTAATCCCAAAGGAACAAGAAGAGGGTTTTTCTTTTTTCTGGTATTTGCTACAGAGAAAAGAGCTTGGAAAGCCCTCTTAGCAGGCATTTCTTTAGCAGCCACTGCTATATAGGCTGAAGTCACAGTCTGTACTTAAACATATAATTAATTCAGGGAGGTGGTATGCTTTTTGGGACTCAATGTCAGCAAGGTGTCTTGTGGAGCAGCCTTTCCTCAGCCAATGTTCAAAGAAGCAGAGGAAACCTAAGTTGCTCCCAGGTGATTAGTACTCTGCAGGAATAAGACTGTTTGCATATCCAGTATTAAATCAGTACAAAGCATGGAGAAGAGCATGATACTGGTGAGCTAAAGATATTTCTTGAGCCTTTATAATTACGGAGTTGGTTTCTTTCTGTTCCGTGTGGCCAGCGTTGTCTTTTGTCTCCAGCTGTTGATCTTGTTTGTACATTTTTATTTGTCTCCCCACCCCCAGTTTATCACCTTAAGAAGCAGCAGCTGGAAGGAGCCAGAGCACGACTGCAGAGCCCAGAATATAAACTGAGCAAAATCCGCACATCGGCCATCATGACAGATTACAACCCCAACTACTGCTTTGCAGGGAAGGCTGCCACTCTGAGTGAGCTGAAGGAGATCCCACGGAAGAACATCTCTCTGCTTCGGTAAGGTTTGCAGCAGGGGTTGCTCTCTGGCACAAGACAGGAAAGGCAGCTTGAAGCAGACAGAGGTAGGGCTCACATGCTTGTTTTACTCATCAAGTATCCAGGACAAGAAAACGAGGGCCACCTGTGTGACTAACTGGAAAGCACCTAATCCAAGCCAGCCAAAATACAACAGATAGGACACTTACTATGTTCTGGAAGGTATTTTGATTCCATAAAGTTCTCAAGCAGAAGTATAAGTTCATGAGTCTCCTGTTCCACGTTCCCACACAAAGCATAGGGTATTTCACCTCTATGTTTTTATATGATGTCCTGGATTACACTTGCCACCTGGCAGTAACTCCCTTCCAAATCTGTAGCAGTATTTCTTTTTCAGCATTTTCTGTCACAAGGAAATTTCCTGTCACAAGGGAATACATACTAGGTTGCTCTTCGGCTCCATACCATCCAGATGATATTGATCAAAATTATGTAAACTTTAGAATGAAAAACCTGATCATTCTTATGTGCTGTCTTACACCGTCTCCTGGAGCCATCAGCTTGCAGCTACCTTATTCTGTATGTTCTCCAGTTCTTTCTTGCCTTGCTATTGCCATACTTGGTGATAGGACCCTAGAATGGAGCAGGCTGCTTTATTTGTTCAGAACCATTAAGGATCCAACCTCCCTGCTTTAGTGACAGTGACAGAAAATACTGAGAAGTTATTTTCAGAGGCTTTGAGATGAAAACAAAACTCTGTTGTTGATTCCATCTCTTACAGCAGGTTCTATTCCTATTCTTGGACTGGATGAAGAGAAGAGCTTGGCCAATACTGGATCCAGGGGCATAGTAACATCTGTTCTCTCTTTTTTTCTTCCAGGGCCCTAGGTCATGGTGCATTTGGTGAGGTTTATGAGGGAACCGTGGTAGGCATTGCAGGGGATCCCAACCCTCTTCAAGTGGCTATCAAGGTCAGTACCCACAAATTTCTTATACAACAATAATTACCCATAGGAGCCATATTATCTTATTATTCTTCCAGTTGGAGATTCACGTTCATCACATGCATAATGACGTATGCATGTGTGTGATGCAGGTTTCCACACGTTGCTGCATCCGGGAATTATAAACTTTGATTTTTTAAGCTGTATGGCACTAGCAGCAGGTTGAAAGTAAAGCATCTGTCTTGTTTGCTGCATGCCTAATGGCTGTAAGTTGTGATCTAACTAGGAGGAGAATCTAAAAAGGGCAATCTCTTTTGTAAGCTCCGTTCCTGTTGCTCAGGAGAGATAGAATCAGTGCCCTCAGATGGGAAGTTGTGTGAATTAGTCACCTGAAGACTGCATAATACGATTAGTTAAAATAAAATAAGAACAAATTCTCTATCAACATAAATATAGCTCCTTTGAAATCAACACAGAACCACTAGTTCACCCCAACAGAGAATCTGCCACAATGGCTTTTCTGCCACAATGATTTTTATAGATCTGAGCAGCCAAGGAAAAAAGAAACTTAAGGGGGGAAAAAAATAGCAACAAACAGATATTTTGGGGGCATTGCGGACTAGAAGGGGATTTCTAAATCTTGTATAAAGAAAAGAAAGTCCTGGCAAATATTAATATGAAGCATTTATATGACTGCAAACAGTAAACATTTATAGTAATGCTTATATATTACTACTTCTGCATTTCAGTGGTTTTGAGTGCTTTCTCCTAAGTTTTTCACATGACATTGCCGTATTTAAAAATTTGTACTGTTTCTCAATTACATTTCCTTTATACTGAGAGTAGTGTTTACCATATGTAAAACTTTCAGGTAGAGTCTTAGTATTGCAGTGTTAAATATGCTGCTGTGAATATATATTGTGAACCATGCTAATTTCCATGTCATTAATGGCAAGAGATAACAGGCTGGTTTTCTGTGAAATTACTGCTGTTGCCTCAGGATTGTCAGTTACTCAGCCCTGAAGTTAAGGATGCTTATAGCCTACTTTTGTTCTTTTATAAGCTTGTGACTCAGAAAAGCAAATCTACTTCTAAGAGTTCAGCCCAAAATGTAGATTTCATTAATAAAAAGAAGTTCTATTGTTACTCGTCCTGTCTTTCAAAACCCTCTTAAAAAAAAAAAAAAAGGGAAAGGATCATGCATTATGGCATTTTGTTATGAACTTCCCTGTGCCGTTGAAGAAACGTGCATGAAAACCCAGAGCAGACACTAGCAAGCAGTTGTAATGGCCCAACCCAGTTTCACAGTCCAGACTGGAGGAAGCACCACAGCACAGCGGCAAACAGAAGTAGATTGGCATGTTGTTCAGTTCTGATAATCCAGTGAGGACGTCACCAGTTTTGCAAGTCTCAGCAACGATGGCTACTTGTTAGGGCCCTGACTGCCCACCTGCCCACTTGTTCACCCAGTTCCCTGTAAAGTGAACAGCCTGAACATCACCAAAAGGCCGCTCTTCTCCCCAGCTGGAAACTGGTAAAGTGTCCATGGGGCCCAACCTGTGGCCGTGCTCACCTTGTTCCATGATGGAGCGTACCAGTCCTGATCTAACTTTGCAGAAGAAGCAGGTGCAGACTGGGAATAAATTAAAAAATATATTTGCAACATATTCCACATATTGTTTGTGGGCATTCCACCAATTTAATAGATCATCTGCACTGTCCTGTGTGAAGCAATCACTTATTTGAGATCGGAAAATGCAACCCTGTCTTCTGTATCCCACACTGCTGATGACAAGAATTGTTTCCATGCCAGCCTCACCGCACTGAGCAGTAAACGTCCCACCTCTCTGCGTGCGGTTCGGCAGCAGGCACTACACACAGCTGTGCCAAACCATCCCGTAACGTTAAAACGGTGGGCACAGTAGCAGGCGCTGCTCCTACTGCTGCCTGCGCTCTCAGTTCATGTTTATCAGTGGCAGATGCTGTCCAAATCTGCTGGCAGGAGAGAAGGCTATAAGGCCACGTGGCACAATTATTTAAATCATGTGACTGTATGTGTTATATGACATGGAAGCATGTGCTGCAATGTGGACATATAGAAAAGGGAGAATAAATTAACACCCGTCATTTTAAAGTGCTTACTAGATCTGTAATTCCCCAGCTAGTGCCTTTCTTGATGTGTACCTGAAGCTATTTTCCTCCAGAACACTGCATATAGTTAGATGCACACAAAAAATCTCCAAGTAGGTCACCAGTTTCCTGTTCTAACTTTAACTACCAAATGGGTCACGTGCAGTCCAATAAACTGGGCACTGAAAAGATGAGGCCCTCCTCGTAGGTTCCTGAGGTCATTCACATGTTACATGCTCGTTCTTTTTTTTTTTTTTTCTTTTTCCTTTGGTGGTCACCTAAATGTTCTCAATTCTTTGGTGGGATGGTCCTCACTGTCTTTACCTTTCAACAGACCCTGCCAGAAGTCTGCTCTGAGCAGGATGAGATGGATTTCCTGATGGAAGCATTGATTATCAGGTATAGTTTAAGGTTTTTAACCTGAGGGTGGACAGGGGGAAAAGGAGTAATGCAGGTAATAAGAATTATTAATCCACTTGCTTGGGTTCGGAAAAGGAATCCAGCCTTATTTTTCACTAGATGGCATTTTAGTAGCATATGAGTTACTGGTTTCAGCTACTTGTTCATCTTAAACAAAGTAACTGAGGTTCTTTTGTTGCACATCTGTTGTGGTTTAATGCCAGTAGGCAGCTCAGCCCCACGCAGCAGTGGGATGGGGAAGAGAATCGGAAGGGCAAGATTAAGAAAACTCACGGCGTGAGATAAAGACAGCGTAATAGGTAAAGCAAAAGCTGGGCACATAAACAAAGCAACGTAAAGAATTCTTTCACTGCTTCCCATTGGCAGGCAGGCGTTTAGCCATTTCCAGGAAAGCAGGGCTCCATCACGCGTAGGTTACTTGAAGACAAATGCCAAACTCTGAATGGCCCCCCTTCCTCCTTCTTCCCCCCAGCTTTTATTGCTGAGCATGACATCATACGGTATGGAATATTTCTTTGGTCAGTTGGGGCCATCAGTCCCAGTTGTGTCCTCTCCCAACTTCTTGTGCACCCCCAGCCTACTTGCTGGTGGGGTGGGGTGAGAAGCAGAAAGGCCTTGACTCTGTGTAAGCACTGCTCAGCAATAATGAAAACATCCCTGTGTTATCAATGCTGTTTTCAGCACAAATCCAAACCATAGTCCCATACTAGCTACTACGGAAAAAATTAATCCCAGTCAAAACCAGCACACTGTGAAAATACCAGGTGGGAAGTAGAGGAAAAAGACCACCTTTGTAACCACTGGAGCAGTAAGCAGTTAGCAGGGCTCCATCACGCGTAGGTTACTTGGGAAGACAAATGCCAAACTCTGAATGGCCCCCCTTCCTCCTTCTTCCCCCGGCTTTTATTGCTGATGTCATATAGCATGGGATATCCCTTTGGTCAGTTGGGGTCGGCTGTCCCAGCTGTGTCCCCTCCCAACTTCTTGTGCACCCCCAGCCTGCTTGCTGGCGGGGGGATGTGAAAAGCCCTAACGCTGTTTAAGCACTGCTCAGCAATAGCTAAAATATCAATGTGTTATCAACACTGTTTGATCACAAACCCAAAACATAGCACCATATGAGCTCTGTGAAGAAAATTAACTCTATCCCACCCAAAACAAAAAATTTTGCTGGTTGGTTCTGCTGGTCATGTTCAGAGGAGTAAAAAGGCACAACATTTTTGTACAAACATGTTCTGTGTTTGAAATGTTTTCCTTTTCAAAGAATCCCATTGCCCTTTTACTAAGTATAAATCATGTCCTGAAGCCCTTGCTAAAACAAACTTTCAATGATGAAATGGAAAGCAATAGGAAAGCTAAAGATTAGAGCCACCTGTCCAGTGACTCAGAAGTTCAGCCTCTGCAAGAGCAGCACCAAGGTGGTACAACACAGGCTTTGTGCCAAGGAGGTAAGTTTTTAGGTTTGGCTGTTAGTGCTTAAACTATATTCTCTCTTGCAAATAAAAGTAGGAGTTTTTATAAGAGCAAGTTTGGCAGCTGAAGAAGGAGCAAGTGTGAAAAGCTTTTCCCATTGTGGCTTTCAGGCAATAGCTGAGCATACGTGTGCAGCCTTTTGGCTTTTCCTATCTGTAGAACTGTTGGCTTAAGTAAGTGCTTTTTGCAGTGAAGGTCCTGGGCTTTTACCCTTGGTTTGCACAAAAATAGCTGAGGGAGACACTCTGAAACCTCTGTAGGGATAAGGTAGTGAATATGGTTCTGCGTGTGTAGCTTGCATAGATGGAACACAGCCCTTCTCCCAGCATGGCCACTTCTCTTAGATGTGTTCTGGTTCTTGATGTCTTTGCAAGCTTGACAGAACCTTTATAAGGTTTCATCTGCACAACTCTCTGACAGTGAACTATGAGATCTGTAAAACCTGCCTCGAAAAGATAACAGACAGCCATTCCTATTACTACCTGTACTTTAAGTATTCCAGTCTCGGAATTTACTTCATTAACCCAAATCCATAAGCTTAAAACAATAGTATAGTCAAGGGTGACTTTAAAATAATAGTCAGGGTTGATTGTAAGTGGTCAGAATGTATGCATTTTTAATTTGTGCAACATGAAGTTCCTCTTCTCATTGTCTGGCCCAGCTCATACCTAGATGCTGTTTTTCTGCTATAAAAGCATGAATCTCATGACATAGTGCCACTTCCTAAAGTCTGCAAGAATTTTGGCAGCTGAACCGGAGGTAACACTGATGTATGTTTCGTTAAAGAGCAATTTCAATCGATTACGGAGTGCTTTGATTCACTTAGTAACACATGACCCTTTCTCTTCCTCAACTTCCTTTCCATTTTTAGTTCCTGTATTATCCAGGTAATCACTATCCAAGGGAAGATGCTGCTTTCTAATGACTGAGTCTTACTGAGCTTCTTGACAGTCTCAGCTTTCTTTTGGAAGAGGCAGAAAGCCATCACATAAGCAGCTGCTGCAGTAGGTGTTAGCTGAGCCCCTCTTCGGCAGACTTGATACTGAACTGAGTCCGCCAAACTAGACAGCAGTATATTTAAAATAGCCAATGCTGAATTAAAATCCTCACTGGTCAGGATTTTGTTTCACAAATGCCAATAATATTTGCATATTTGAAGTGCTTAGCTTTCTTTCCCATCTCACGTCACCCCCATCTTTCAGTCAGTGTGTCCATTAAATTCTCTCTTCACAGACAGAAGGCTCCGCTTTACTTTCAACTTTTCGTACCTTCTGTTGAAAACCCTTCATGGGCAAAGCCAGGCATAACCCTGATCTTGGGGCTGTCATAATCAGAGAGGCATTTTGATACGGCTGAAGTAGGAATTTGTTTGGTAACTTGCACTGCATCAGGATTTGCTTCAATCCAGGTTGTCAAAGCTCAAGGCACAGTGAGTATGATGGATGTTGGCCAGGTACTAATGCTGTCTTTCTCTTCCATGTTGCTGTGATCTTGTCTTTCAGTAAGTTCAATCACCAAAATATCGTGCAGTGCATCGGTGTTAGCCTACAGACACTGCCTCGCTTCATTCTGCTCGAGCTCATGGCTGGAGGAGATATGAAGAGCTTTCTTCGGCAGAATCGACCCAGGGTGGTGAGATAACTTCCCTGCTAGGCTTGTGGTTGATTTCAGTACAACTGTTTTTATTATTTTTATGAATTGAATAAAGGCACTGAAGCCAGGCAGTGTATGCCCCAGGTCCTACAAACTTCTGCATACATACGTCTGTTTGCTTGACATAAGCAGATGTCAGTGAGAGAAAATGAAAGCAATGCCAGAACTCCAGTCTATTAGTAACTGAGGAGGAAAGAGTAAAATCCTGTCCTGCCATTGGAGAGTTCTCTGTCAACTGGTCTACAAATTAAGGGGCTTTCTTTTCTCAATGTCTGCCATGTTTTCTGTGCACTGTGGTGGTGTGTGAGGAGCTGAAGTTGTAACACTGATATGCAGTAATGGGAATTTGTAGCACTAGGTCCTCAGCAGGTGTGCATCAGCACCATATGGAGATGCACAAATCTATACTACTTGAAGAGCTGAGCCTGCATGTAGCAGTGGGACAGGGATTTAAATCAATGCAAATGAAATTATCAAGTCAAATATTTTTGTTTAAAAAAACCCACCTTTATAAAAAGCTGTCATGAGGTTTTTTGCAAATCATCTCTGATTTCTAGTACTATATTGATGCCAACCAAGTACAGTGAATATTTTGCATTAATTAGTTTCAGCGTTCTTATAATTAATAGCTGATTCCAGACATGTGTTCTTGCTTCTCAACAGTGTGATCCTGGGCACCTCTGTTAAATAAGTATATATCTCTGCTTGAGTGGAGACTTCAAAAAAAAGAAGAGTTAGGCCTGATCCTGCGTTATTTCTTGTTGTATTAAGGTGCCTATGCTGGCTGCCTACAGGGGTAGGAGGAGGCTGACTGGTGCCTCATGTACTCCCACACCACGTGATGCAGTTGCGCAGCTTCTCCTCCACACGCGCATCCCCCCCAAATAGTTATGACAATATAGCTCCATGTGTGTATACTCCTATGCTGGTACTAACATGTTGTTAAAAGATCGAGCTTAATCTCTTCCTCATACAGGAGTAAATATACTAATTAAATGCATTTACAGTGGTATAACTGCACCCAGATGGAGGAGTTTGTATATCTTATTTTTGGCCTTTATAGTGATAGTGGTACAATTTCTGTGAGTAGATCAGGTCTGTGGGCAGCAGAGAATAATAAATACTTTTATTTGAATTTTATATATAGTTGTAAGGTAAAGAACAGTTATTTTTTAAGTGAAAACAAACCTGCTGCTGTGTTAGCTGGTATGCTAGCAGATAGCAAATACAATAGTTGAAGTCCAATTAGTACTTAAAAAAATGTCCCTGTATGCCTTTTCTGAAAACAGAACTAGCCCCATCATTAATGTATTTCACGACAAGTTTCCCTGGCTGCAGAGAAAATGTATGTCCCATCAGAGTCTTCTGACAGAGGGATCCCAGAGCAGAGATAAGGCTGGAAGTCTGTGGTTCTATTTCTCCTCCTTGCTCTTCATTTCCTCTCCAGAAATGCCTACTTTATAACGATAATAATTCTCCCTGGCAGATGTCCAAGAGCCTTGTACAGTAATTTGCCTAGCCAATAAAAATAGTGCTCAATGGCTGTAGTGTATGTTATGTGGTTTGAGCATGAGAAATTACAGCAATAACAGCATCCAGAAACAAAAGCAGCCTTAAAAAGAGCTTTATTTGATATCTCTTGGGCTTTTGATCAGCAGTGTAGTAATTTCTCCCCACCCTTCTCGAGAGCAATACAGAAGTTCCTGGAGAAACACCAAGGAAATTTCCCTATGGGGAAATAAATGATGAGATGAAAATGAGCAGGGCTCCTGGAGAAAGACTTCTTTATTTTTCTTAGTTAGGGAAGTGCAGATGGTGAAGGGCTAGTACCAGTCCCGGAGTCCTGCGGTAAAGCATCCCTTTTTTGCATACTGCTCCTGAGGGCAATCTCTCTCCTTCCACAAGAAGGGATAAGTTGATGAGTGCTGGCTGCTGGTGCAGAGATGTGCACTCACGCATCTTTGCTCTCTGTCTGAGTTCATGTGCTAATTTCTGTTGATAATTTATTAACTTACTCTTTAAAAGTGGGTGGGTTTTTTCTCTGCATCTCACCTTTTGAACCTGCTTGTCTTTTGATTTCACAAAGGGGAATAGTTCTCTGCCACCGCCTTTACTAGGCTATTCAGGCCAGGCCACAAATCTCTCACCAGCTTGCACTCAGGCACTGTGCTCAGGAGAAGTAAAATCTTCTGAAAGATTTTTGGCTTGCATAAGAGTTTACTCATTTTCTAACCCTTTACTTTGATCTGCTTATGTTCCTCTTTGCTCCTGACTCATTTAACCCTTCCCCCACCCTGTATGTATGTCTCTCCCTTTCCCTCCTTCTGCCCCTCTATGATTATCCCCTGCCTGAACTATATTCTTCTACTCCGCTATTCTTCCCTTACCATATTCTCTATGTCCTTTTTGTCCTTTTCCAGAATCAACCATCCACGCTAACAATGCAGGACCTGCAGATATCGCCTGCGGCTGTAAATATCTGGAAGAGAATCATTTCATCCACAGGTGAGGAGAAACAGTCCCTTCTGATGTATCTCAAGGTGCGTGAAGCTCACACAGTTTCTATTTGCAGTGGATTAGACAGAACTAATCTCCAGGGGGGAGACAGAGATTTCCTCTACAAATACCGGCCTGTGCTTAGATGTTCGGTCTGGTCTCACTGTCTTTTGGTAGGAGTTAGGCTCTGCACTGCTCTTTGCACTGCTGGGGAGAAAGGAATCTTCTATTCGCAGTGTTTTCAAGTGTTAATTTTCAGGTGCCTACAATGTAGACACATTTGAGATTAGCCCTGTAGTCCACTAGATGGTAGTGTCACTCTGCATTAGCTTGTAAGACAATAAGGTATCATTTCTCTCTTTTCTGATCTCCCTATCTTGACTTCATGTTTTCCCTATCCCATCAGCACAGGACAGCCCATCATATGATTCTATATGTGAGCCGTTGACTAGAGAAGGGTAGAACAGGGATAACAGGAGGTAAAAACACAACTCTAAAGCTTCCTTCCCAGCTCAGTGGCTGACCTGCTGTGTGGTCTTGGGGAGCCCATATTTGTCTGTTCACACCTCTTTCTCCTCTTTTGTAGAGCAAAAAAATGTTGATATGGCAAGCTTCAAATAAGAATAAAATATTATAGAAGAGGTAAAGGTTATTATAGGTCGCCTTTTAAAATTCCCAGTTGGATATTGGACTTCTTTGCTTCTGTTTAATAGTTGTTTCAGCTCATAACGTTCCCAGGCATAGCGTGCAACTGAATTCCTTCCTGAGTATGAACTCCATGCTGAGTTCAGCCCTTGTGTGTAAAGGGAAGGAAAGGCCTGCACACAAGAGGGTCACACAGGCTCTATCTAAACCGACATGCAGCCTGGAGTTATGCAAGTAGACAACTGATTCACCCACACGGGTAAGCATGCATACGTATGCATGACATTGCACAGAGCAAAGAGGCAGAGCTAGGCAAGAGTGAGTAGAGACTGAGGCAAACAAGTGGCAAGCAGCAATCGGAGCAAAAAGCCATGAGATTGAGATATGGGATATGTTACGGCTTTATGATTAGAGCATCTGAGACAGTTTTCAGTCTCTCTTATATTGGAACAATAAATAAGTTCCTTTGAAAAAAGGATTAGAGTTTTCTGTCATTAAAAAAGAGCAGTAAGAGCATGCAACAAGTTTTGGCTCTTGGATCTCTTGATAAGTACATGAGGGGATCAGTGTTCTAATTGGAAACTTCAGAGTTAATTGCTACAGCATTATTTTTTAAAAATCCTTACTGTAATAGTAATATCACTCATCAGCCTCCACCCACCCTGATCTATTATATTTATGATAAGGGCCAATTTTTGCTTGTGCTGCAAGAAGTCCAATAGAAACTCAACAGAAATTTTCTCCACAAGTGTTTTATAAAATCAATTTTCATTTCTCCTGTCAGGTAGATGTTCCCTGGTTTTCTTATTATATGTCACTGAGCTCAGCAGTCATCAGATAAAGCTTCTAATATTTATGTCAACAAATGGACAGACCAGCTGCTATTGCTCAAGACCAATCTCCATTTCAGGAGAGAAATAGAAGAAACTACTCCTTGACTCTTTTAACAGCAGCATATCACTTTTAAAAACTCTCTGGGTCAGTTTTTGCACTGTTAGACCTCTAGTATAAGCAACGTGGGAAGGACCTGTTTTGTTTTAGCCAACAGTTCAGGAAATCAGTACAGAAGGAAGTTTGTTCAGGTTCTGTATTAGTATTTGTTAGTGATGTCAGTATTACTTAGAGTGGGTCGGGAAGGGAAGAAGTTTATCATTACAGATAACAGGTATCCTAGGGGGAAAAGGTAGGGTAGTGGGGTTGTGGAGATGTCACTAAGGGCAGGTCTTGTCATCTAGGAGTCACAGCTGATGATGGAGGAGAAAGCTGAGCTTGACTTCCAAATCCTGAGGGATTTTTCAAAGCTGGCAGTGGGAAGAAACATATGAGTTGTTCAAGGAGCTCATTTTTCTTGGCAGTCAACAGGACCCCCACAGTGCTATGATTTTTAATGAGTTCCTTTTCAGAATGCTTATTTAAAATGAACACAAATCCTTCAGTCTTGGCCATGCAGTCATCACTGCCATTTGTCACAAGCTAAACCTGTACCCAGCAAACGGCTGCTCCCATATGTAGCTTTGCTTGGTTCCACGGGAGATATCCAGAAGCCACAAAGCAACAGTTTACCAAATCTGGTCCTACATTGACTTTTCAAGCAGTTTACTAAGACTGCCCAACAGCATCACATCTGTAACTGATGGAGACACTGCTGAGATGCCACTCTTTAAAAAAAATAGAGCAAGAAAGAAATCTGTCATAATGTGGTTGAAGCAAAAGAGGCTGGATCTGTCCCTGGTCTGATAATGACCCTGTTTTCTGCCTTAGTGAAAGGAGGTGGGAGTGGGGAATGCTTGCAAACCAGTGGGTAGAAAATGTAAGGTAAATGCAGTTTAAGAATTGTGGTTAATAAAAATGATAATGTAGCTGGCATTATTTTTTATTTTTAATAAGGCTTTTCTTCTCATTTGTGTAAAGATGACTCAACTAAGACTTGCAGGACTGGGTCTAATACTCTTTCTTTATTCCTTTAGCTACTTAAGAGTTTAGAATTAGTATTAATAATTTTTTTTTTTTTTTTTAAAGAGATATAGCTGCAAGGAATTGCCTGTTGACCTGCACTGGAGCAGGACGAATAGCCAAGATTGGTGACTTTGGGATGGCCAGGGATATTTACAGGTAAGTGAAAGGCCGTTTCAGTCCTGTGAATAACTCAGTAATCTGTATCATTTTGGCTGGTTTGAACTGTCTCATGGAATCTGAAGCAATGGAACCATCCATTATGTGTCTGAATTTGATTACCAGTTAACCAACTGGAGGTAACAGACTGTAAATTAACACATCTATGCCTACTAGCCTACTACTACTCTGGAATAAACACTTCAACTGTGTTTATTCCAGACTGAGCCCCAGGGAACACTGCAAACACATGTGGACACTAAACCAAGCATAGGCAAATTTATTAGCTAGTTGAGCATAAATAATCTTAAATTAAAAAAAAAAACAAACCATAATTCTCAGTTTATGATGTCAAGAAGACTTGCTGCATCAGCACCCCGTGCAAAGCATCAGCAAATTTGATGTCTTCAACTGTGCACCTACAACATCCTCAGTTTCCATCCCAGTTGCAAAGAGGGTATAAAATACTGCTTCAATGCACTGTTTGTGTTGATGACTTTTCCTTTTTCTTGCTTGGCCCCCATTGCCACATGCAATCCCCAGCTGCTGTTGCTGTGGTAATAAGATCTTTTATATATCTGAGCCCTTTCAGACTATATGACATTCTCCATGCATTTTATCTTTCCCAGAGCAAGTTACTACCGCAAGGGAGGAAGAGCCATGCTTCCTGTCAAGTGGATGCCACCAGAAGCTTTTCTAGAGGGCATTTTCACCTCCAAGACTGATACCTGGTAACAAATGTCTTTTAATCACTTCTGCTACTCAGTGATAAGGGTAAAGAAATGTACTGCTCAAGAAAAAAATGTCTGCTCAGCAGACAGCAGGAACCTTTAAAAATGTCAGAATTTCCCAGAAAAATATTAGAAGTCTTCTCTCTGCACTCAGTAGAAGCATGGCTAAAGAATTCTGAATAAGAATTAAAAAATCTAATGTAAATGGAGGAAATAACAATTCACGGTACATAAATGTAGAGTATCGTATAAAGGCAATCAAGAAATGAAAAGAGAAAGCAGTTTAGATTCCCAAGAAGTCTCAGTTAAAAATCCAGACAAATACCATCAGACACTTCCATCAACCCTCAGTATCTGCCATTTTCTATCAGTGACAAGGCCTGCTTATATAGCTTGTAAATAACTCTCTCTGTACCACCCAGGATTACTCTTTTGTATAATTTTTTTCTATTATATATAAAATGACAGCAGGTTTAATCAGAAGTCCTTGCTGGTTGCTGAGGAAACAATATTTATATATTGATTCCTCATGTAACTTGATCTTTCTTTAAAATAAGCACCCCCTCAACAGTAGCACATTCATGCACAGGTGCTGGGGAATGGAAGCTTTCCTGTTGCTTAAGAACGCCTCTCTCCTTATACAGTAGATTCTGCAATATACTGTACTGAGACATTCCCTTAAATGCCACACTGACCCAGTTTCCTGAAGTTGTTAGTGATGCCGGAAGACAAGGGATTGCTTATCAGCGCCTAACTGCGAGCAGCAAGTACTAAGTATTTTGAAGGAAAGTGCTACAGTTCCTGTAATAGGCTATTATAAGTAACATGTGTGTACTGGAAATTTCTTCCACCTTTGCAGCAAATAGTGACTTTTAAAATTCTGACCCTGCTGAGGTCCTGGCAGAACCCTCTTGACTCCCCTGGCTCTAAGTCACACATTATTTTCAGTGGCACTGCCTAACTGACCCGTGGATGTAAAAAAGGAGAGCAACCGTAACGTGACAAAAAATAAATGCTGCTGCCTTTCAGTTTCACTGGATGTCTCTTACTTGATTTTATTCTTGAGCGTCCTGTTCCCAAACAATGACTCAAACATCTTCCCAAGTAAGGTAGGAATCTCCATGCCAGATCTAACAGTTCTTTTCAATTAGACCACACATAGCAAAGGGTGCTCTGGCATTTCCTGCTCTAGAAATAACAAATGCAGCAGAAAGAACAACTTCAGAGTTATTCAAATATTTTGAAACCTCTGCAAAGCTACTTTTGGAGCTTGAGCAAAGGTTTTGATTGATTGGGTTTTTTTATAGCAAAGTTGACTCATCATCACGCTAATTGCACATTACCGTGGTTGGCCTACAGCTTCGAAAGGTTGTTGCTGTGGTGTTTCCTACACAGCTTCGTGCCAGGTTTGTGGAGCACAAATGAAACCTAATTGGTATTGTTGGCTGGTTTCTGACACAGGTCCTTTGGTGTGCTTCTTTGGGAGATTTTCTCTCTAGGCTACATGCCCTACCCTTGCAAAACTAATCAGGAAGTGCTGGAATTTGTCACCAGTGGAGGAAGAATGGATCCACCAAAAAACTGTCCAGGGCCAGTGTAAGTATTTCCTTACTCCCGCAAGCACTCCAAGGGATAGTGGGTATCAAAAAGGTTAGACAAAGGCAACTTAGACCCCTTTAGTCAGGGAACGGTGATTGCCCCCGGTGTTAGGTGGGTATTATTGAATGTCTCTTGAGCCACTGCCTCTTGTATACAGCTTAGAGCACTATAGGATTTGCTTTAAGTAGTGGTCCCCTAATGGCTTAGGATCCAAGGATGCAGAAATGACATCCACTTTTGCTCTCCTCCTTTGGGCCATGTACCGAGTGCAGTTCCTCTGGACCCATGATCACTTCATACTGAAACACATTTTGCATAATTATCTTTCTTGATTGATACTTTTTTTTTTTTTTTTTTTACTTATTTTAAGGTACCGGATCATGACACAGTGCTGGCAGCACAGCCCAGAGTATCGGCCAAACTTCTCCACCATCCTGGAAAGAATCAAGTATTGCACGCAGGTATTGGTCTTTGGTACCCAGGTGGATGATAATCCATGGAATGCCAACTATCCAAAGGCACTAGCTTTAGTGCAAAAACAAGTGAAGAGTCCTGACAGACTGATCGAATTACTTTCCCAGTTGTGGTGGTGCTGTTGGCTTAACTGCTCTTTTCATTTGGGTTTTCTGGTATCCATCCTCATTGTCCCATCTTCAGCCCAACCAAAATGAGATTATACTGTTCCTGTGCAAGTGGATGCTTTCAGCTCTCAGCTTGTTCAGTAGCAAAATGTCTTTCATTTGGTGATGGACAGGTAATTAGAATCTCTTTCAAGGTCCACATTCTGACCTTGCCTAATGTTGTTCGAAAGCCACAGCTGAACTGATATGGAGTGGGGAGGGGAATGAGATGGCACGGTGAGTTCACCATCTGGTAGCATTTTACAGCTACAGGCCTGGATCCAACCTCCTGAGGGAGAAATTATATACTAGTGACTCCCAGCTTAGCTACTGATTTCAATAAAGCACAGCCTCTGCTCAAAGGAAGCACATAAATGAGAGAGCATTTTTGCAAGTCCTAACAGCATGCGATATCCGGGTGGCACATAGCACCTTGTACAACGTGCGGGAATATTGCCCAAACCTGATGTCAGCCTCTCTTGTCAAAAACTTTTTCACGCTCATAGCTATTTCTCTTAAATTGCAGGCGTGACAGTCACCCTGGAGGTGCTCAGGGCGTAACAGATTCTTGTCTCTCTTTTTCAGGACCCTGATGTGATCAACACTGAGCTGCCCATGGAGTGTGGCCCTACACCAGAGGATGAAGGGAGTACGGTCATGCGCCCAAACATTTCCAGCGGGATAGTGCCTCTGTTGGTAAGCCCTTCTCTCACACCACAGACAACGCCTAAAACACTGGACTCCCACCATGCTGGGCATAAACTTGTACAATGTCCACAAGAGCTACTGGTGGAGAACCTGAGCAACTGGACTGCTCGAGGGCCCAGCCTGCCGTGCCTCAGCGATTTGAACAGTGGGTCCTGGTTCCAGCAGGCCTCGAACCAGAAGTTGGAGCTCAGCAATCCACCAACCCACAGACTTAAAAACAAAACGAAAAATCTTTGGAACCCAACCTATGGATCATGGGTGCTAGAGAACATCTGTCACTTCAGCCCCAGCTCCAAGCTCAAAGCAACTCCTGAGCGGGAAGATTCGGGCTTTGATGGGAATTGCAGTTCTTCTAGCTCTCGGACATCTCCAGCATCTCCAAGTCGAAGCAACTGCCCTCACCTGGATATTGGTGGGATTGAACTGGTGAAACTCCAGACTTTCCCCTGTGGCAATGTGAATTACGCTTATGATGACCTGTGCTATAGCACTGACCACCAGCCATCAGCTTTGGCAGAGGTCAGAGCAGCTGTGCTAAGGAGCTCCAGTGTGCACAGAGATGAAAAGCCTTTTTATAAAACAGAGAAAACATCAAGAGAGAGGGACTCTGGTCTGTCTTTGTCAGATGACCTGAGTGTTACTCCAGTGTAACAGAAACGGTTCTTCCAAAGACCAGGGAATATGTGTGTCTGGAAGGACTGCTTCCTATTTCACTTACTTCCTCCATTTAAGTTCCTTCAGACGGGTGATGTTTCAACATCAGCAATGTTTTGCTTCCTCCTTCTACCTGCCGGATCCCCAGATCGTTAAAGACAGTTGCATTTCTATCTCTGTCCATCAAATGTGTTCCACTGAACCAGTTTAGCAGTGGAGAACAATGGCATTGCTGCTCTGATTCAGAATACAATACTCAATGAAAGGACTCCTTCTCAATCTGCTCAGGTGAAAAGAAATGGACCTACCATCCAACCGCAGCATTTGGATGGAAATAATGAGCAACACAGGTTGCACTTCTTTCAGACTGAAGAAACCAAAAATGCATGCTGTGCCAGCAGCAACCAACTTGCAAAGGCTGCTATATTCCCAAGAGCTTTTTACAGTCCTGATGACTTACTAATGATGCTCATGCACTGTAAGGGAAGTAAATAAATAGCAGCCACATTTGCATCTGTTTTATTAGCAGACCCTGTGGAAAAACATAAAAATGAAGCTACTGCTCAAATTGGAAGCAGTAGGAAGGGTGAAAAAGAATCCAGGCTCCTCTGAGCACGTGCATTGAAAACAAGCAATGAAGAGGAATTTACTATTTAAAAAAAAAAAAAGTTGGTGGAGCTGATAGTATCCCTTTGAATAGTCAAGGAAATGTGCTGTTTGCCTCACAGTGTTGCTTTCCTCACAGGTCCTGGCGTGGAAGGGGCAGGTGGTTTTTCAAGAAAGGGTGATGAGAAATGGACTGTCTTTATCTTTTAATGGACTTTACTTGGGATGAACTTCATTTTTGTAAGTACTTTGATATTCAGAAGTAATTTCCTGTGCTATGTTGGTAAGCATTAAGCTGAGGTTCTCGGGTAACTGTCTAGCATTTGCTGCACTGGAGTTCTTCTTGGTTTTAATACCTACTCCTCTGAGGTAGAAACGAAGTAATGCAAGGGAGGGACAGAGTGGAGGGGAACCTAATACAAACACTACCTTACAGTGCCCTTGACACAGGAAGGTAGAATAGCTCAACCATTTGAGAAAGCTAAAATCATGACTTGGCTTCACACACCTATGCAGGCCGTCATTATCTTCTCACCTTCCAAGCATACAGACTTGCTGATAAAGGTAGTTATTGTTTGTTTTGAGGACAGCTCATTTCTAAGGCTTTCTTCTGTTGCTTAAGGTCTAAACTGGTTAAAGCCTGCAAAATACGGAGACTGAAAAAGTAAATAATTTGGATTAAGCTTGAGCAGTCTCGGAAGCGTTTTGTCCTTGTCCCACTCCTGAAGGTTGCACTGCCAACCTACGGTGGCAAATTACATGCTGCCTTCATGTCTAATCAGTTGTATGGTGAGATGTCAGTCGTAGACTCTGTCTGGTTCCTTTCTGAGGGAAGAGGTGCTCTGGTACAAGTTTTGCGCTTAGTGATCAGCTGCATATACAGTCTGAAGATGTAGGCTGGCAGGAGAAGGTTTGCTTTGATCACACAGACTTCCTGTCCTCTGCGTCATTCGGGGATGGACACTACTGAGATGTGATACAGAAAAGCACCGAGTGAAGCGTCTGAATCCATCTTGAGTGAAATCCATCTTCAGCTCAGGTTTTGTTGGTCTGATTTTGTATCTGTTCCAAGTTTCCTATAGTTTTAGGCCTTTGGCTTTAGAATGGTTTTATATACCAACATTTCCAGACCTGAGGGGTGACGACGGCCACCTTTCAGCAATGACTGATATGGTATGGCAATAATTCCAACTCCATGTTGGGAAATGACAGGTGGTCAGAACAGAGGGGTCCCTCTGTGCGTGGGCAAATTCCAGGAGTGGTGTAGGGACTGATGGGCTTAGTGACCAAGGGAGATGGTTGCCCTTGCCTCATGCCCCTCTTTCCATTTCACCTTTGCTTTAGCTCTCTGGCTTCTCTCCTATTTAGCTCGTTGCCTGTCCTGTCTTACGTCCACGAGCTGCTACAGCCCAGTTAGCAGGAAATTTTCTCATTCTTTCCTCTTGCAGAGGCTAACATTTTTTGGTCATGTTTCAGGCTGGCCACCTCTGGAACATGCTAGTCAAGAATAAATACATCTACTCCTAGCTAGTTGGAATAACACCAGCTCATCTTCAACATCCTTACCTTTTGGATTATGTTAGTCCTATGGTTTATGCATTAGTAGTTTTTTTTCCCCAAAGATGAGCTATCAAACTCTCCAACAGTTGTGACTGGGCGTCAGCAAGTCAGCCCCTTCCTCCCTGCATGTGTGGTAAGGCCACAGCAGAGTGTAGCGATCCTAGTCCAGCAGCAGTGGCTGTGACTCCGGATCGCTTTCCAACCCGTGTTTGTCACGGGCTCTATCCTGAGCAGAGCACTAGTGGTCACAACCATGCTTTTGCAGGTCCATTATGACTCTGCTTTCAATTCTCCTTAGCCATCGGCATGGGTGGGAAATTGGCGGTGAGGAGTGAAATACTGACTTGTTCAGAAGCCATGGGAAGTTAACTATACCACCTTTTCTTCCTGCAGACTTTTTGTCAAGTAGCAGACACAAGACAGTTCTTCATTTTTTCACATGGAAATGAGTGTAAAACACCCTAAGATTCCAGTGAGAAGCAGGTAGGATCCCTGCTGTCCCTATGGTTACCCAGCTTGAGCTACCATTGTTTTCCCCATATACTATTGTTTTCCCGATATGCAGCACTTGCCTCAATTCATGAATTTAGAAAGGCCAATAGAGATGAAACTAAATAAGCCATTGAAAAGTGAAGTGAGAGAAGAGCACAGTTCTATTACCCATGCCACAGGCAGTCTTGGCTGCAGCTATGCCTTCATTTTATAAATAAAATGAAAGTTCTTCAGTCCAGTACTTTGAGCAAATATCTGTTCTTACTGAATAGCTCTGTCAAGGTACTTATTTACAGGAAGAGCAAAGCGTAGACAAATCTGCACTGAGCCAGAACAAAACTCCATCCTTCCCAGTATCTTATCTCTAAGAGTGACCAACAGTGGGGTGTTGAAGGTCAACTGTAAGAGTAGAGTGAGCATGTAGTGATTATTTAGTTCCTAGACATAAGTTGCTGGTTTACAAGAGCACGTAGCTCAGGGACGTATTGAGCCAGATGCCGTGTCTGGTAACAAGACAGAACATGGAGCTGCATGTACCAAATGGGCACTAAAAGAAAGAGCCAGGAATTTTACAAGAGTCTGCATTAGCAACCTAAATTTTATGTAAGCTTTTAACTCCCTCAAAGGGAACTAAAGGTGAATGATCTTCTGTCAGCATAGTTGCCATGACTCTGACCTGTAACAGTTTTTCTGTGCATATCTGATCTCTTAGCTGCTTTTAAAAACCCTCACAGATAATGAATTTTAAATGAATATCCTGGAGGAAATAATGCTAGTATCGCTCCTGTTGTGATGCTGAAATGCTACATGCTGTCCAAACTGTATTATCTAAAAAGAAAAATAACAATTGCAATGACGTATAGTACAACCTTCAGTCCTACAGTTCTGAGACTGAAACTTACTGTTCATACAATCACAGATTTCATAGTGCTCAATTGCTACCATTTCAAAATATAACTTGCTTGAAACTGTTTTTAAGGAGACACGTGTAGTGCATCATCAATGAGTCGAACCCAAAATTATGTTACTTCAGCGATTGAAAGCCAAAACCCAATTTTGTTTCCTAGAGGAATGACATGAGCTGGAGATCTGGGATTAATTCAGTCCTGTAATCCACATGAAAAGTCTTCCAACACTTCCCCGCTGGAGAATCAGCCATTTATAGGATTATTATAAATTGCTCTTCCTGACGGGTGTCTGTCTTTTAACATGTTACCAACTTGGTTTTAGATTTGTGTGTATATAGTTGTTGGGTTTTTTTTCTTCTGGGCTCAGCATTAGTACTTTATGTTGCTTCATACAACCTCATACCTACATTGTAAAGGGGGGGACTGAATAACAAAAGATGAAATAATAATGCAAATTTCAATGTGTCTTTCTCTGCTTTCTTTTCACATTTGTTGATATTCTTGCTTCTGATTTCTTTGTTATCTTTTCTCTCCTCAATTGAAATGTTTTGTATCTTCATTTTCCCTTTAAAGAAACAGAATTTTTAACTGCACAGATTTAAGGTGTCCCCTCATATCAACCCTTTTCCTGAGGTAAGTTTTACACTGATATGCCAACAGGCAGGTGTGCACTAAGAAAGCTCTGCAAGTCTAATTAAATAGTTACGGGCTTTTGCAAGTGTAACTTATTCCACCTCCAATACCCTCCCCCTACTTACCCGAAAGAGAAGACAACGCTACTGCTGGGAGTACGGTTTTCCCCAGTGCATTTGCATCTCCACAGGGGTGTCAGCCAGGGATCACACTTCCTCAGACCCTCGAGCAGCAGAGCTCTGCAAGACAGTTTCTCCTGTAGACAGGACCGTGCCCCCTCCTCCTGGCTGCCTACCCTTTTCAATCTGATGCAGAGACCTCAGGCATGACATCACTAATATCTTCCCATCTCGTCACATTTAGTTGAATAGGTCTTGATTTGTCATTACCTCTGACCATGGCAGCACTTCTTGCCAACTTACCTTTCTGGGTGACTACTGTACATAACTAGATGACATGCCTGCTTCTATACAATTTAAAGCTGGACAAGTGTATACTTCTATATTTGCAACACAAAATAAAGCGACACTAGTGGTGGCTATTTCTTTCCCTCTCTGCTAAGTACTCTTTGCACACAGGTAAGAGGACACTCTCTTGCTGAGAAGTGTTGCCAGTCCTGGAGGGTTGACTGCTTGTTCCCTGCTGCCACACAAAACTGCCCCGTGGAACAGTTAACTGCTCTGAGTCTGCAAAGTGCCTTTTGATGCACAATTTTTTGATATACTGAGATTTGAGACAGAGCTTCCCTCGAAGGAAGCTGTCAAGCTTTGTGTGGATCAGGTTCTAAAACAGACATACCTAATGGGTTTTGGAACCAAGCTCCAATATTAGCTTCTAGATGTCTTAGAACGGTTTTGTTTTAGGAAAGACTAGATGCTGAAGACTAAAAGCACAAGAAACACTGAAACAAATAGTTTTTGTCCCTTCCCTAGGAAATTCTTGAAGAAAAGATATTACTGTCCTGTGACCAAATCACAGTGGATGTCTTTTTTGCTCGAGTCTCATTTATTTAGTAGCATACACACTTCAGAGTAACAAACACTCAATCAATACAGTCAATGTCAAAAGTGACCATGGTCAGCATTGCATTGTAGTGTTCAGAACGGATGCACTGTGGATGATACAGGCCATTTGATCTCAGTACCTTAAGAATAACAAATAATAACAACAGCAATACAAAAAAAAAAAAGTATAGCAAGAGCCCTCTGAGATACTTACTTAAGGGTTTGGTCCAACTCCCATTGAAATCTTTCCAAACTGGATCAGATGTTAAGTGAATTTCCCCCGTGTAAAATTAAGAGGGATTTAATTTTTACCACTTTGGTTAAATTCAATCCAAATTTATATCCTTGTGGGGACCCCCCCACCCATCATTTTTAAACTTAGCTGATGTATCTCTTTGTGCATTTCTTTCCATATTGCACCTTCCTCCAAAGAATCTCACAGCTTCTTGCAAGCAATAATGAAGGAGAGCCTCACACACCCTGTGAGGTAAGTAGGTACTATTCCCATCTATAAAATGAGAACAAAACTGAGGCCTAGAATAGTTGTCCAAGGCCAAAAAAACAACTCACTGACAAAGCTAAGGGAGAGAAGTCCTACTGCTAGATTCACACACAGGAATGCAGCAGCTACAGCAGTAAGCATTGCTGCAGCTAACTAGTGAGTTTAAAAACCTTGATGCCTAAGTTAGAGGTTAGCTCTTCAGCACCAAAGTGCCTCTGGGCCAGCATATCTTACCATGCTGTGGAAACACACGTGCTACATTCTGGACTTGCACATGAACAAGTACCTTGGTTATCATGCATCAGCTCTTCTATGTTGCATGCCTGTGCAAAGGCATCATGTTGACCCTCTGGTAAATACAAGCTTATTCAAGGCAACTTACTCCATAGTGAAAGAAGGCTACAATGCTTCCTCACACTAGCCAGGGAGTGTACACAGGCACTCTGGGCCATCTGATGTGAATCAAGGTCTCTAACATACCCCGTGGTAGTTTGCTCATGAGCTCATAGCCTCCACCCCCTTAGAGCTCCAGTGCTCATTTGTAGTCCTACACTTGCAGTTTGCTAATGAAAAGCTGCCTCGTTTTCTCCATTCCCATAACAGCAGCAGATTGTGGCTTCTTCCCTTCTAACCCCTTGGCAAGCCAAAGGGCCATGTCAAAACTAATTTGCTAGAACTATGTATCATCTAGAATGAGTTTCCAGACCAGGGGCTGCTGTAGAAGAGGTTTTCTTTTTTTCCCCTGACCTTGTCAACTACTGCAGAGGAATGGATCATTCTCCATGTTTTCCCCCAGGACCACATACTGCAAACCATCCAGGCGCTAGCAGCAGTCGGTGAAGCTATGGTACCACGCTGCTTCTAGTTCTCCTTTAGAACTGGACAGTCATTCTAAAAGTTTGTCTCAAATTCTCAACTGACATTTCAGCATCAACTTTCACCCTCTAAACTTCCCCCCCCCTAGAAAATAAGTTACACTGATGCAAGAGATTCACATATGTGGTAACAGAAAAAAGAAATTTAACTCTGAAGATTAATTAGGCAAACCACTAATGAATTCTATCACCTTAACAGTCTCTTTTCTAACTTTTCTGATTTTTTTTTTTTTTTATTATGGTAGGACTGCTTGCAATTGCAGTATTGAAAAGGTATTGTTACTAAAGTCCTCCCCTGTGAGACCTATTTACTTCCTATTCCCCTTAAGCACTGCTAACCAATGGCTTACCTGGTGGCTGCAGGAAAGGAGGAAGACCTTTTTTTTTTTTTAAAAAATTGTATGAAATTCACCACAGATTAATTTGTCATCTCATAGCAGTTCAAAAGGTAGGAGGCATCTGGAATGATAATATCTGTGCTCTCTACTGAAGGCTCGCTGTCACTTAAAAAAAAAAAAAAAGTGTAAACCCTCTGAAACATCTAAGTGGAAAATTCATTAACATACTACCATGAAAATAAAACCGAGAGGGACTCTGGGAGGCCACAGAAGAAGTCTGAATTTGCAGTGAACTGCAAAAAATAATTACCAGTTTCAAACAACTTCTGGCTTAGGATGAAATGTTTCCATGTGTCATTACTTCCTACAGAATACCCAGTCTATGTCATCTAACTTTTAGGTCACCACTGAGCTTGAATTTTTAATACTGCTGTTTTGTTTAGAGGTGATTGAAAAGTTATTAAATCTGACTGATCTCTTAGTACAGTAGTGTGTTATCTGAAGTAACTCCTTTTAGAAATTATTTTAGGCTGTTCAATTCTAATTACAAATGTTATAGATACATTTCTTTCCAGATCTGGACTCTACAGTCTTTTTTTTGCTCATGATCACAATTATTAGTGAAATAGCAGTTTCCCAAAGCATGGAGTCACCTTCATATATCCTAAAGTTCTCAGAATCTCTTCTGAACACAGGACACTGGCAAAAGACAGCAATTTCTGATCAATGTGCATTACTAGCTTTAGATGTTGAAAGGGGATTAACAATCAAACAGTAATATAAGTCTTGTCCTCATTTTGAAAACTGCATCATCACGTTATTAATGTTAAAACCTGGAATGTGAGTGAACATGTGAATACTGATAGTATTTATACTGCTAGTATTTAAAGAACTGTTCAAGTGACTAGAAGCAACCAACGGAGAAGGTTATGTGAAGCCATTACAAGAAATCACTTCCGTGTTTCTTGATTTTAACCTAAACAATGTGAATTTTCTGTGGCTGTGCCTGGGCCACAGCAAAAGAAGAATGAACCACAGATGGCCCTGCGATTCCAGACGGGGACTAGGGGATGTGATACATTGACATTCCTTCCCCCAAACTGCCCTGAGTTAACAGCCGATACCTTGGAAGGAATTATCTCATCATTAGTGTAATGCTGTGAATGCAGAAACATTACCTTCCTGATCGCTGCGCCAGTCTATACACTTAAGTGGCAGCATCGTATTTGGGAACAGGAACATGGCCAAGAAGTCACGTGCATTAGGAGACAGTCAAACCATGATCTTAAGAGATCACATTGGTTGCTGGCTACTAGTACAAGCATGCGTGCGCACATGTATAGGGGTTTTATCTTTAAAAATAAACAAGCCTTGAAAAAAACCCTTAGTTCCCTGCTCTGTGTGCGAAAGAGTGATTACTGGTTTTCAGAACTGCAGTTCAGCTGCAAGAGGCCAAACTCGCCAAGCTAGGCACTTTTCCAACAGCCCACCCAGTCTGAAAGTCAAATGTTTTTGGAGACAATAGGCTGCTATTCTCTCCCTAGAGTATTTGTAATCTCCTGAGAGGCTACATAAAAGCAAAGGCTGTTCTTGGATAGAAGTGAGGCTAGGGTAGGGAAGAGGAGGAATGGTCAACAGCAGTTACCACATCCAGCCACTGCAAACTGCTGTCTCCCTTTACTCCAGGTTTCTTGTGATTATCACCCATTTCCACCTTGTGCACACTTAACACAATGCAGCAGAAGTCGTTGGTCCAACCTCTAGTGTACACAGGAGCAAGAAGACTTGGAATTAGGGGGGAAAAAACCACTCTTGCTGGTTTCAAAACTATGCAGTTCCCTGAAAAATTGTTACTCCTACCCTGAATCCCCACACACTTGCTCTGGTTCACTAAGAGGTAATCTGGAGTCCCATCTGTTCGCCAGAAATCAGAATCATTCTGGTTTACCATACAGATCTCTTGACTCATGCTGGTGTGATTCCTGAGTATGGAGATCTTCATTCTCTGAGGACCAGTCTGAAGTTAGGCTGGTGCAATACAGACCAATCTGGAGTTATTTAGGTTCATAGAGGGCCGATGCAAAGTCATTTTGATGACTAACTGCTGGGTTCTGGATGCAGCTCCCTCTGCACTGATAACCTCAGGAGTTTGGAGGGAGTTAAAGGTTTCCTTCTAACTGAGTGATCCCAGTAGAGCAGAAAGTTACAGAGCAGCCCTGGAAGTTTTGTGCCATTCTCAACTCATCTTTCAGTGATGCTTTCCAAGATGCCGATCAAATTGTCCAATCCCAACAAGTACCCATCTTCCCTGTTGCCTTCTTGCCAGGGGATCCTGTGATCCAGTGTCTGCCCATCAGGGAGAAGGGTGGTCTTTCCAAAATCGATCAGCCACACATTGGCATTCCCACTGCCATCATGTACAAAAAGTAGTGAACTTCCAACGACCTGGAAGACAGATTGAGATGACGTGGTTAAAACCACATCTTTAGCTCTCCCCCATCACTTAACGCTTCCCACTAAGAAGATGACCTCCTCAGATGACCTTCTCACCTGTGACCCAACAGACTTTTGGGCTGCACTTATACATTGACAATTTACATGACCAATTTGCATAACCATATCAGTCAGTAACGTATAAATGGGCCTGTAGATGGGAAAAGGGACCCAGTAGATAAAGGGAAGAAAAGCAATTCTCCAAGTTCACTTGGCAGCAGGTCTCAATTTGAGCAATTCAGCAAAAGCCAGTGACTACTTTCAAAGACAGACCATGACCCATGATTTACAAAAATGCCTCTAGTGACAAGAGGAAATCAACAAGGTGAAATAAAATGTCTGATCTCAAAATCTTGAGCTGTATAAGCAGAACTTACAATGCTAACGATGTCTTCTCCACAGCAAAGCATACGAGGAGAACATATAGAGCAGAATTATACAGTGTTTCAACATAAATCCAGTATAACTAATAAAGTCTTCATCATCAGACTACAACTGAATGCTGCTGTACCAAATGCAAGCTTCCACATTACCATTCCCCCATAAAGATTCCCATTGGAACATACCAAGGTTAGAGAAACCACAGGGAACTAGTATTAATAAACCATTCCCTGCAGTGGCCCAGAGCTGTAAGCGCTGGGACGTTATAAAGATGGGAGGATTTATTATTCCTCAACTGGTTTAATCTTCTGTATCGTTGTGATGGAGGCTTTGAGGTACCTGTGTTGTTAACATATATTAGTTTTCTTCTACTACAAACTCCTTTCTACTAACACAGCAGGCTATTCTGAAGTACATCTGAATGACCAAACAAATAACAATGCACCTCCACAGCATTACACTCACTGCTCACCTCATGTCGCTTGAAGAAGTCTGAGGATTCAAGAACGATATGAATTTCCTGCAGACGCTTGAGGTATTTTTTCTGGAGGAAGAGGAGAAAAAAAAAACAACCTGTAAACCTTTAAGTAAAGAATGAATGAAGATACTCTGTTTACAAGAGTCAATATAATGAAGAGATGATGTTAATTTTAGGCTAGAGGTCCTTCAAAACAACAGGTTCATCATTTGAAAGTCAATCTGAAAATACACTTCAACAGGCTTTCATAGTGAATGAACAGACTGGAGTTCCTCTGCTGCATGTGTTACACCGAGCATACTTATCTGTCCTCCTTTGGATGCAGTGAGATAGCATCTGGCTGCACGCTTTCTGCATCCTTTTTTTTTTGTTTTCTTTTTAATAAAGAGAAAAAAGTTTCAAGCAACTAAAAATCTTCCAGTTCTCCACAGTGAAAAGAGAACGAAATTGTGTTAGAGAGACAAAGAGCTCCAACCATGTTGGGCGGGGGGGGCGGAGAGAATAAAAAAAGTCAAGGCCTAATGCATAAAGCTCTAGTATACGTTTTTAATGCTGCCCTGTATTACCAAGCATCCTCCTCCTGGAGGGCTAATCTGCCTTCACAATGGCTTCTACACTGCAGCAAACACTACGGCATCCTTTGAAGTTCCAAAGACAAAAGACACGTTACGCCATCTACCACATACCTGCTGTGCTACCCGTGAAGTAGCATGCAGGAATTGCTCTTTGCAGCGAGTCTCACACATAGGAGCACAGCCAGCCACCAATCTCACTTCCTGCCCCCATGCTCTGGTTTTATCCTCTCCCAAATCACAAGTTTTCCTGCCAACACAATCCTTGCTTAGACATCATCATCCCTCTGATGCATCTAACACTCATGGTCGAAGCTGATGGCAAGCCATAAGTTAGCTTGACCGACGTTTTGCTAGCATGAGGAACTTAAGGTGAACTCACAGCAAGAGCTGCCAGAACTAGTCTCAGCCAACTGCTTCTCACAGCCCTCCAAGTCCCCATGTCCACTCCATCTGCTGAAAGGGACTGGAAGACCAAACCATTTTTCTTCCTTGATAGTTTAATTGATCTTTCTTGTTCCAGAGGACACGTGGCCCTGAAGCAAGTTCATTGGGTCATGGATCAGTGAACCTGAAGAGTTCAGACTCACCAGAATAGTTGTGTTGCCCTCAATGAATTCCACAAAAACCTGTAGAACTTGCTCCTGTGTCTTCGTAGTTTTGAAGTTTGTGTTACATGTTCCATCTGCCTTCTGCACAAAAACGCACAAAGACAGAGATGATTTATACTATGCACATATCATTCCCCTCATCAGTCAATCCTCTGGAACCATCAGCAGCTCAGTTCTCACTAACCAGATGAAAGTGAGTAGCTGAACAGGAAGAGAGCAGGTAAACCAAGCAAGAAGTGGAGAAAAGATGCAAAAGCTGATTGGGTAACTTTAAATGGCACTTCATTTCCTGTTGAGTGCAGTTAAAAAAAAAACAACTCATGATATTACCAGCTTGCAGTCAGTACCAGCAGTGCAAAGTTCAATGGGGCAAACCACAGTGACTTCTTTGGTTGTCCTCTCATCTAGCTTGATGTAGTCAAACCCTGGCTGGGGGCGTAAGGGGACGTCTTCAAACCCAATTTTACTTGACCTTTTTGTTTGGTTTTTTTTTTTTTTAATTTTGTTTTTCAATGGGGAAATCAAAGAATTGCGGTTAAGACTCAGTTCCCAATATACCTTTGCACATTAATGTGACCCAGAAGTCACAGAACGGAAAGCTAGTTGCAGCCAAGAACAACTCTGGATTTGCAGTGCTAGCAGTGACACAAATGCTAGCAGTGACAAAGCACGTGTGTGAATTTTGGCAAAGGACAGCGCGTGCATGCTTGTATCCAACTGGCTCCTGGAGAAATTCAGAGTATTTTTGTGCTAGCATTACAGCTCAGTACAGAAGCATCCTGCTACTGAAAAAACAATTCTTTTTATGTGCTGGTAGTGACCAGTGTGTGCTTGTGGGCCTACAAGTAAGTAAGAGCAGTGCATGAATCGGAGATATCTGTCAACATAGGCTATATGAATATGCATTTCTCCAAGAACATCTCTGTCGCTTCAAGAGACACAAATATGAGCTTTTAGGACACGCATGTAAAATACAGCAATTATTGCAGTTGGTAGCCTGTATCCACTAAAAGCCTGCAAGATTATCAAACTGTATTCCTCTCCATCGTATCAGTCCAATGAAATCCCTCATTTCCATTATAAGAGTAAATCAACAGGTCATCAAAATGTGTTCCCTCCCACACGTTAAAAGTCACTGCACCAAAACTGGGTAAATTCAGCTCCAGTCTCAGCAGGTAAAACACTATTTACTCCACAGCAGAATTTGGCCCCTAGTATATACACAAAAAAAAAAATCTGATAATGCTAAATTTCCAGATTTATCATGCAAGAGAATGAACTGACTGAATGGCAAAGCCATGCAGAACAGCCTCCCACCTAGCAGACTTTCTAGCAGCAGAATAAACAGAATTTTATTCCAAGGCTGTGGGCCAGATACAAGTGTGGCATGTCAGCCTGATGAGATGTGTAAGTTATGCAAGAGAAGCTCAGCAGGTTGGCAGATCTGATGCATGATGATACTCAACAGCACATAGAAATTTGGAACTCAGTCTGATGCCTCGTAACTCTTCACTGGAGTAAGGTTGTTTTAAAAATAATATCTGCCCGTGCCCCAAATCCCAGAGCAAATCCCTGGAACAGCTGCTGTGTGTTCCCTTTTCATCCTTTTTTGTCTGGACAGACTAATTGCTTGCTTCCCTGTTGTTTAGAAACACTGTTATGATTTTGTTCCTTTGCAGTGGTTGGCAGGGAACGTAACTGCTGCCTGACTTCACTTGCTGTAAACAACATCCAGATTTTGAATGGCACCATCCCTCGTGCGCTATAGCAGGCCCTTGCAACAACTCTGGATGTACCTGATCCCCAGGAGGCGCGTGCCTGACTTGCTCCTTGAAGTCATACCTTTGTCAGGGCCTCCACACGTATTCCTGCACAGCAGAGCAGTCCGTTGCACAGTGCAGCCAGTGGGCCACTTGCAGCACTTCTCATTACATGTGACAGCGACGTGGCTAGCAGGAGGGCAGGTTTGGCTACCCCATAAAATAGTGCTACCTATCAACCTGCGCGGTCTTGCTCAGATTCCTCTGCAGAGTTCCCTTAAAGGGCTCGGGGTTAAGGTCATGACCTAAACGGATTCACAAAGATTTATGAATCAAATCTGACGTCCTCCTGGAAAAACAGCTATCCCTGATCTACAGCTAAAGGAATGGTACCAAAGGAAGAAGTAACTTCCCAAACTGCACAGAGATTCAGTGACAGAACGGGAAGCCAGAACTCCCGATTCTCAGCCCCATGCGTATCTGCTCTGCAAAATGATCAGTGTTGTAGAGACAATGTTTGTGATGCCTAGCCTTCAGACAGCCCCTTCCAGAGAGGAAACCTGCATTCTGAATCTGGCAGGCACAAGAGACCGAGTATCAGGTGCCAGCTGTAAGGAAACCCAATGGTTCCAACTATTTTTGATAAGAGGAAGAGGGACAAATCCCGTAAGTGAACCTGGCCTGATTTTCAGAGATAGGGAAGCAAAGCAAGGGAAAAACCTGAAGAGAAAAGGCACCCCACTGATGAAGGACGAGCACATATGGTGAATCAGATCTCATTTACTGGAAGCCACTTCACAGAAGGGCTTCTACGATTTCAGTTTCTTTGCTTCTGCTTCTTACTCCAGCAGCCACAGGGCAGGAATATTTCTGGATGACCAAACCCAACAGATCTGTTCAGCTACCTGCAGGAGTTATCAGTGCACTCAGGGAGAACAACCCCTTCTTCCCATCAACCACTAGCTGGCACCACTGATCCTTAGAGGCTCTCTTCTCAAAATGAGGATCTCTGCAGTATGGCTTTGCTTTTCTGCAAATATACAGAACTGGATGTACAGTTCAGCTACAGTGAAACTGTAGGGAGTGTAGGGAGTACTGCCTAGCTTATTGCTTGAACAACTCACTTTCTGTCACCATTTCTCCATGTAAAAAAAATAAAAGAATAATACCTACATCCCTCATAACAGCACAGGCAGATAGAGGAAAAGGCAGTACTCCAAAGCATTTCCTCTGCTTAATAAAAGATTAACTATTTGTGTCCTGTTTTGCACAGTTACAGCATTGTCTCCACAGAGGGAAATACCATGCAGTCTGTGGGCCATACTGCTTCTACCCACCTCTGATAACCAACCAAACCACAAAGAACAAGCCAGGAGGTTTTACTGGCGCTCCCCTGTGCTCCCTTAGCTCAGCCACTCTCCAGGACTCAACATAAATCTGTAAGCCTTCTACACTGACTAACTGTCTTTCTGAGAACATATGTAAAAGGTCTTGAGATCATCTGGGTTTCTGATTCCATTACAGAGAGCATCCAAAGACCTAAGTGGTTTAGGAATAAAACAGATATCTTGATAACCTCATTAGATGGCTAAGGGATAAGACAGGAAGTGTCTTGGCTGGACTGGAGCTAGATCATCTACCACCCAGACAGTTCCTGCATGAGGATGCCTGTGCCTAACAGCCCAGAGTGGGTGGCAGAGCGCACAGGGGGGCATCACAGCATGAGCTGGAAGCCCTAGTTCCTTATCACAACAGGAGAATCTGTGAATGAGGAAGGGAGAAGACAACACAGGGAAGCAGAGAAGAAAGGGGTGTTTAAAAAGCCTCTGCTTGTCAGCGTCACTCTTTTATCCCTTTCTTCCTATGTGCTTGAACTATGAAATGGAAGCAAAACTAATTGAGATTATAATTTACAATGTCCTAACATACCTAAATTAAATGTATATGCTCTGGGAACATCCTGAAATCACACAGGGTAACCCATGCTAACTTCTTCATGGCTGTCCCATCATGGGATTCAGGTAACAAGTACTCATCCGGGGTGCAGGTGGGTTTGGGCGGCACTCGCCTTGCTCTGTGCTGCTACAGGTACCTCGCTATCTATCGCTATCTAACCCCAAGGAAACTAGTTTAAGGCTAGCTGTGACAGGCCTATGCAAGCAGAAAGCACACTTCTGGATTGCTGCAAGTGTTAACATTCAAGTAACTGTATCAGGTGGCTGATATTCTGAGAGTAGGTCCTACTGGCTTTCTGGGTAGGGGCACAACAAATATAAAGAGTTAATGGGTAGGAAAGAAAATTGCCAAGGTTCTTCTATGGCTGTAAGGTAGAGTCCTAGGAATGGTATAGGGGCACAAACTTACCCATCAAGAATAGCAGATGGACTTTGTTGATGGAGAAATTTTATTTTTGGTTGTTTTGGCTTTATTCCAGCACAATCTGTACCAGATATTGTCATGTACTTAAAAGGAAAAGGGGTTTCCTCGATCCCAAGAATACCTAAGCTAATGCTTTTAACATGCCTTGCAAATAAATAGAACTGGAAGAAAAACACTTTACTGTGATTCACTTGGAATAAATATGTATAGTTCCTGGATTAAAAAAAAAAAGTAACTGCATGGAGAGAGGCAGTTATTTCTTCAGTTCTGAATTCTTCCTTGTAACAGTCTCATTTTCATTCTATCTACGCTGCGTACCTGCTTGAGTCCTTCCTGCAATGTCTCTGTGGTTGAACCAAGTATGGCTGATGTGCATTTGACGCTTAACTTCATTGACACTACTCTTATAATTGCAATAGATGCTTTAAAACCACAATACGCTGAACTCTGTGGTTTCAATTAGTGCATTTTCACATAATTCTTTGGAAAACCTGGCTACTGATGCGCACTAGCTTTTTGATTAATCAACAAATCAAAGAAAGTTTGGTCTCCAAACAGGCAGAAGTGAAACTATTACCTTAATCCCTTCAATCCTGAAGCCCAGGTTGGCACTAGAGCTGATGGTTTCCCTCCACTGCATGTATCGGGGTTTGGTGACAGCATGCTGGGCATTCTCTTCAGCTGTGGGAGCAAGGGGATCCACTTCAATCATCTTCTTGTACATGTCCTTACGCAGCTTTGGTTTCTCACGGGCCTTAGTCAACTCCTCCTCCAGATATGTCCTGCAAAAACATCACATCCCAACAAAACTGTAAGGACTCCCCAAACATTTCTTTTTACAACTTATAAACTGGCCTCAAGAAATGTCAACCAGAAAAGTAAGTGTTACCATTACCCCAGTTTTACATATGGGAAAACTAAAGAACACGGACTAGTGACTGCACAGGCATATTTAGTGAAACCGTTGCAGGAATCAGGAATTGTGTCATTCACTTCTTGTTCTACTATACCCTTACTTACTGTTACATGTTACTGTTATGTCCTGCTTACAGAATGGGAGAAAGCTGAACTCCTGCTGTGCCATGAAATAGAGCTGTACTTTCAGAGGACAGTTAGGAGAGATCACTTACAATGAAATCAAAAGCAAATAGGGCTGCTGAAGTCTTACCCTCTTCTCTCTCCTCAAAAAAACCTAACATCAGTCACGTGGGATTTTTTTAGGCCTCAGAAAGCAATTAAGGTTTTACTTAATGCATCAGACAGTGAGAGACAGAATCACTCTTCATATAGTAAAAATTACAGAGTAAAGCAGATTATGAGCAGTTCCAAACCAGAAGAGGTAACTAAGAACGGGAAGGTGAAGGGTGACAAACCTTCCACACTTTGCTGTTATCACTCACTTGTTAATCTGGTAACCGTTAGAAAGGCACTATCATGTTCTCTACATTCCACTGGACTCTTAGAGCTTGTCTCTCGCCACAAAGCCTGCACTTTCTCAGGCACCTGGAGCGTACTTTGTTCATCACAGTGTAATAATAAACCAGGCTGGTGTTTAGGAGATGCTGTCACTCATTACCAGAATGTCACCTACTTTGAATAAAATATGTACTGCTGCAAATCCTTCTCCTCTTTCTTCTGGGCATACCAGTGCTACACATTTCTACTCTGATTTAGCTTGACAGTTCATTTAAAACTCTGCATCTATTTGAAAAGGCTTGTCTGCACTCCTGTAAGTTGAATAACTCATTTATGACAATGACTCCTGAGCATCTGAGCTGGCACTCAGAAGATTAATATGACAGTTCATACCTCTCTGTACTGTTACTCCAGGCTCTCAACAGATTCCTTACCTATTTGTTATGCTTAGATAACATTTTTGAGGTTTCCTCTTAATCACAGACAAGAAAAGGAAAAGAAAGTGAGAATCTGGAGAACAAGGTGATAGCGTCATGGAGATGTCAGAGTAGGGAAAAGCACAGGTCGGTCCTGGGCAGATAGTCAACTCTTTTCTTTTCAGAAAAGATCAATACCAGTGAAGACTCATTGAAGTGTTGGAAATGGGCTTTCACACTGCTATTCACATTTGGAGATGGGGATTTTACTCTTTGTGGGGTTTTTTGTATCACTGCATACATAAAGATTAAATGAACTGGCAGTGAATGAATCATGTAATTTTTTTCCCCATGTATTATCAGGCCACTGCAGAGAAACTTTGTCACAAATCACCACTGAAAATTTCTTGACGGGGATAGTTTTTGAGGCTATAGATCAGTTAGTTTCCAGAATCCATGTACAATCAGGCAACAACGGGACATACTCTCCTCAGGTTGTCCAAGGCGATTGCCAAACCAACAACAGGTTGTCTGGACTGAATCCCGAGGCTCCAAAAATGTTATCAAACTCCTCCAGACAGAGCATGACCACATCCCCCCCTTCCCTCCAATGCATTTGGGTTAGAAAGCACTTTCTTTCATGTACCCCACCTGATCCCCATCTTGCAGTCCATCACACAAGGCCCTTCAAAATCAGTAAGCAAGTCATCCAGCTGAATGTAGCTCTCGCCATCTCTCTCCACCACACCATGGAAGCAAGGGACACAGGAGCGTAGCGGGTCTTTCATCAATCGCTCAAAACACTCCTTTTCATTCTCTGAGAAGCGCTTGAGAATCTTCCCACTATCAGCTGCCTTGAAACTCCCTAAAAAAGAGAATCAAACACATGCTGACAAGACTGACCCGCAAAAAAGAAAAACACCTTCCCCCACCACTCCAGCTTCATCTACCTCAGCCTCATGACACCAGTTAAAGATTTCCCCTGAAGAGAAAAGATAACATGCTTTTCACAAAAAATAAAACACCCAGGACAAACACAGCCATTGGCAGTGAAAGTCCGTTTGGATACATTCCCATGTCAGAATTTATAGCTTTAAGGAGTGCAGCTGCTCCAGGTCATCGCGGTTTTTTCCATGCTAAACTCTTTGTTAGGATATTAAACACTAATATACTTATTAAAATGCACAGGAAGAAGCCACAAGCCAGAATTCATTAATCCTCTGACAGGCTATTTTTAAGCTGCATAACACTGCCAGTGTTGGCTTTGTCCTTAATCCTCACATAGGGTATACCTGCTGAGTGTGTACGTACCGAGGCAGTACGGTCAATCGGTGATCATTAAACAGCCACAAAGAGGCCAGAAGCCAAGCACTGCCCTTTCTACACACACGCTCTGTCACTGCGCACGCGTGTACCTCCAGGTACTGCCTCTTCTACAGAGCCCTGCTAATCTGCAGGTACAGCCTGTAGTGCGATTGTTTCTTTACAGCCCTGTGTCTCAATGGTATCCAGTACAAATGACAGTCTGCATAGGCCAAGAGTGGCAGTAATTAGATTCCAGCTGTCTGGAGTCTCCTGTCCAGATGCTCTCCTATCCTGCAGCCTGCCAGTAACATCTGAGGAAAGTACATGTTTTGTTCAGAGGTACGCTTTAATCTACACGACATAAAATAGGCACCAAACTAGAAGCCTCATTAATCCTGGGGCTAACGCTAAACTTTTATCACAGCAGGATCCTTCAGCCATTGCAAACTGGTTCTTCTCTGACAAATCCTAGAAATGGCACTGCCACAGCACAAGGGTGAGGGTGGTGATGGCCCAGGTTTTAGTTTAGAAAGAACTTGTCATATCGAAGAAGAACAGCTGCAAAAAGGATGGACTAAATGCAACCACAGAAAACTATCTAAAGCAAACTGGAGCAGTATTGCTCCTCATCAGCTTCTAGTAACCTCTTAACCCTCCTCTTCCGCCCTACTACACAAGCCTCCAGAAGGGTTATGATTACACGACCAGTGCACCACTCCCCACAGATCAAGCCGACCCCATACACGCTGTGATAAAAACTGCAAGAAGACTGGGTCATCTTGGCACTCTGCGTGATACAAGTCAGTCCCACCAACACCACTGTGCAGAATGCAGTGACTCCATTTCTAGGACTAAATAAATTTCTCTGCACAGCTTTGAAGTGCATCATATTAGTGCATTAGCATATAAAGAGGTGGTTCAGGTACTGCATTAAAGCACGATGCAGCGTAGGTGCCTGCCCACATGTGTACTAATAAACCCCGCACTAGCACTTTAGGAACAAGGGCTGCATAGGAATTAAATGAAGCACAAGAGAAGCAAACCTGATGACTTCTCTTCGTTGTTTTTTTTGTCTTACCAGTGAAACAAAGCCTACATCAGGAGCACACTTACCAACTTTTATAGACGCAAAACTAGAACCAGCTGACTGAGCTGCTCCCTGCACTCATAGCGTGAACAATGACAGACTCGCAATGCAAACCCCTGGTCAGCAAATCCATTTTCACCAGATTTGTTTTCCACCCAAGGGCTTACCTTCAGATGAGGGGTTTGGGGTTGGTATTAGAAACACTGTCCTTGCCAGGGCTGAGGCACATACAGGCACAGACAGTAATCCTTCCCACTAGGGAACTAACATATTGGCTACTCAGTCAAGAAAGATGATCCCATACCACAACCAACAGCAACAGATGGACTAGGGCTTCAACTCCCCGGTCCCTCTTGTTTCCCTCTAACAGATATTTTACATATATCACCTTACAAGCCTGGCCCTTCCCCAGAGTCTCACCATTGCTTCCTTGCTCATCTCATTATTTAGGTACATCACCTCCCCTTCCCTATCCCCACCACAACTGAAAGATGTTCTAGTTCACAGATTTATGTTATACTTCCTGCTTCCTTTTTACCTGAAGGAAGGAAGTAGAGAAACACTGAAACACTGTTTTCCTTGCTGCTGCCATCCCCGCTCCAGGGACAAACACATTGAAAATATCCATCTCACCTGTATGCCCAGCCAGCTGCACCCACGAGTAGCGTTTCTTGAAGGGGCTGATGACTGGTAAGTTAACCATGGTTTTAATTGTATGCCATGCCTTTTTCTGGAATACAAAGAAATGAAATATTAAGTTGGGCAAAAGCTGAAATCCTGACATGCCACAAACCTACCACATAGCTTCATGCACATCGAATTGTTCCTCACTAATTTGTAAGTGCTCAAAGGTAGAACCACAAAACAGACACTATGGTCATCGTTGGAAAAATATGCACATGCAACCAAGAATGGACAAATACTTAAATATAATGCCCTACCATCCACAAGAAAGCTGTCAGCAAGAAATAAAAAAGAAAGTCACACTGCACCTCACAGGCCTGTTCTTAGCCACACCTGACCCCTCTGTGTCTGAGTCATGCAGTGTGCGGAGAGCAGATGCTGAACACACACTTACACGCATTTAAGTTTCCATGAGACGTGAACATAAGCTGTTTGCCACTGTCAGCAATACTTCCTTTCCCAGAGAACTTCAGCATCACTTCGTGATCAACAGTTTTCTCCAAGTCAGCAGGTGAGTCTTACTATGACAGATGCATAGAAAATGCATCTCTAGGTGAACATGGAGGTCACCCAGGTCCCTCAGCACCCATTTACAGTGTGCTGTAGAATCTACTCCAGGTCACGGATTTTCCTGCTCCCTCCCTTCTTTCCCAATCTTGTTACTTTTTAACAAAGCTGGGCATTGCTCCGGCCACCTTCGGCTGCCGCACAGTGCAGCTGTCCAGCTACCGCTGCAGGCAGACAGGGAAACAGAACAGCTGCTGGCAAACAGCAGCCTCTGTCGCAAAGGCAGAAAGGGGAAAAAAAAGTAAAAAGTGACAAAGTCTCGTGCTCTGAAACTGAAACCCGGCTGGGAGAGAACCACAGCCCACGGGCGTTCATGTTTCGCTCTGAGGGATCCCAAAGTGCTTTACAAACAAGGACAGCAGGCTCATTTCTTCTGTCACTAGACGTGATACCCTCCTGGAGGAAAAAGTGGAGCTGCACAATGCTTGTGCACGAGAATTTAGTGCTGAGGATTTTTTGCTGGATCAAGTATAGTTGGGGATTAGGCTGCATTTACAGAAGAGCTTATCAACAGCCTAACTGGGATTCACCAAAATCAATGGGAGGCATTGATTTCACTGAAAACGAGTTTAGGTCATTGCTCAACACTTGAAAAATTCACCTTCAAAACAACGATGTCTTCTCTAGCAGGGATACTGATCTGACAATTTAGGCGCTTAGGATACCTGATTTTTACTGTCTTCTACACTATACTTCTACAGAATTGAAAAATACAAAAAGTGAATTTGCAGGCAATGACACACAGGTAAAATGTAGCTCTCCAGATCACACCGTGACCTGGCCATCCTTCCCCAAACTTGTTCACTTATACCACGTTTCTTATAAGGTATCCGCCAGCAATGTTGGTCACCATGTAAGGGCAAAACCCTGTGGCTATCTTAGAACGTATCAAGAGGATATGTGAACTCACAGACGCAAGTGATCTTTCTTTTAAGGATTTATCTTCACAAGAAAGTTTTAAGTTATGCTGCAAATTAAACTGACGTAACAATATAATCACCATATGAGCATACTTATTCTGAAATAAGATTGCTTCCTCCTATTTAACTTATTTTGGTTTTGAACGCAGTTCAAGCGAAAATGAAGTCACTGTCGGTCTGATCTAAGTGCCCCATGTGGCAGTAATACTTCTGAAAACATACTCTGCTAGAGAGAGGAAGCATCCAAAGAAAATCCTGGATGTTTGAGAATCATGAAGACTCAGTTGCACTTACTGCAACTCCACTGTTACTAGCTCTAGCTAAACTCCAGTTTCATAAATACCTTCTGCAGGTTTAAACAACCTTTTCATATTCTATATTATTTGGATTTCATATTCTATATTATTTGCTTTAAGTCGTTCCAAACTGCAACCTTGCAGTGCTAAACAGCGACTTGGCTCTATCACAGAGCTAACTGCTGTTTAGTGAGGATGAGAGAGACTCTTGTACAGCACTTACAAATGTCCATAGCCTCCTTCTGGAGGAAAGTGCAATATAACTACCGTTATTCAAGTAGCAAAGATAAATTACTTTTGTATAGTCTATTTGCCAGATTTAACTGATAGCAGAAGCCCTTCAGTCTACTCTGCTGTTTCTACTCCAGAGGGACACAGCCCTAAGTTATTTAAATAACAGTTGAAAGTAAACATCATTCTGAATTAAAAATGACCCCTTTGCATGTAACTCCTGCCAAAGATTTAGTTTTTGAAGATTCCCGCCCAATTTTCAGGGTAACAGGATGCTTTTTCCCCATACCGTAATCAGAAGTCAGCATTGCTCCATAACTCTCCCATAAAGGTCCTATACTCATCATAATGTCCTACTCCTAACAAACCGCATCCTGTCTCCCAATGACTTGTAATACTGCTATATCCAGAAGTGATGAGAAGCTCGGGTTTTCAAGGAACGCACATCCACTGTCAATGCAACACCACACCCCAGTGGCTTTTCCGCCTCCTCCCTCCCACCCAGCCCTAAGAAGCTGCAGCTTTTATTTGTACTGCGGGTGTGAAGGAGAGACAACAGGCCAAATTCAGCCCCAGCTCAAGTGGACTTCGGCTGCTTAAATTACAGCTGCCTTGGATGAGTATATTTAAGCTACTCAACCAATAAGCAGACACTGACAATTTTTTTATTTTATTTTATATAAACTCTTCACAAACCTTTTCCCCCCTCAAGACAGGGAAAGCATGAGGCTCAAGCTAGGAGGGAAAGGATTGCTTCCAGACCCATCCCATGGGGCGTGCTGCCATCGGCAGGGGGTCAGCAGTTGCGCTTTCCTCTATGGCAACTTCCAGTCTCCCAACTCACTCAACCCAGGATGCAAATTGCCAGGATGCAAACAGGGCGGCATGCTGTTGGAGCAGTGGTGTGAGTGGGAAGATGAAAACTTTGTGTGCCTGCTGTGGGAGGAATCTTTCTCACTTCTATTTCTAAAGCAAGATCTCTTCCTCTTTGTTAGCAATGGTATTATGTGCTTTTCAAATCACTGCTTTATGCTGCAATGGCAAAGCGGATTGCTACCACTGCCCATCTGTATTTGCAGTCCGTATCTCCCTCAGTCCCTGTTTCTTCTAGATTTCCTGCTCAGTCTTCCTTGATATTTTGCTCTGCCTGGGTTTCTCCAAGCCCTCATTTCTTCTAGACTCCCAACTATTCACATATATTCAGGGAAAACTCGGATATCTCTGTATCAGGATTGCCCAAATCAGATGCCCTTGACATCACCGATGCTACTTTATATGCGTCTAGATCAAAACACTCAAGAGTTTTCCAATAGGAAAAAGGAAACCATTCCAAAAGGGCCAAGAGGCAAACACAAGACATATTAACATTCTAAGATTCAGCATGTAAGTTACTCAATGTGAACTGTAACCGACACGCTATATATATACCTCCCTAAGCAATAAAGGGTGTGGGATGCTAAAGAGGGGAAAAGCTAGCTTCCTGCCAATGGGTCAGCCTGTGTGATGGGCTGTACCACTGGAACTCTGTCCCCAGTAGCAAACAAACAAAAATTCAGGGGAAGAGAATGGGAGAACCGATTCCCGCAATGCAGCCACAACGTATGCAAAGGATTGTGGCTTGATATCTGACATTGATCTGTGTTATCTGGATTACTCTTTTGAATCACTCTTCTGAATTTGAAGCACAGCACTGAAGAGGAGCATACATCCGTGCAGCAGATGTGGCAGACTTGCTCTATGTTAGCACTGGCATATGCAGACAAGACGCTGGCCAGATGAGGTATTCCCAGCCTCTTCAACCCCGGATACAGGTAGCTGTGGCCATCATGCCATTAAGAAACAGCAAAGATGAGCAGCAACCGCGAGCCACTGCTTCCTATGAGCACAGCTTTCTCCAGGCCTTTTCTCATGACGAGAGCACAACTTCATAGGTTAACTAGTACACAGAAGCACAGCCGTGATGATCCTGCCCAAATACACCAGCAGGACTTGGCTGAGGAAAACCCACTAAACTCACTGGGAGCCATTTCATCCATTTTAAGGGGTTTTGGCTCAGGCCTCACTGTCCCCAAGAATTAATCCACAGGAACTAACCGGCTTTCCTGAAACCCTCCCACCATTTCAGGACAAGGGCTATAACATCCTAATAGCCAAGCTCACTGAACAGATCAGTGCAGACCCCCTGAATGGGGTGGGGGTTTTTTGGGTGCTGCTGCCGTTTTACAGGCAGCATAGAACTACTGAAATCTCTCTCTGAGCAGATGCTGAATCCCTCAGGGACAGATGAGCCACTCTGACTCCGAAGGGCAACGGGGGATAGGGACCCGAACCTTCCTCTGCTGTTCTGTGGAAAAATAAATGAAATCTCTCCTTTATTTAAGGGTAAAACGAAAACAAAGATCTTGGTTTTGTGAACACCTTAAACACATGTAACTACCCTCAGGCAAGCACTGACAAACAGGCAACATACACAGGAATTTGCAGAATTGAGTCCTAAGTGAAGCAATTACAATAATTAAAAGCACCAATCATATCTAAACTAATAAGTATCAGGTGGGGAGGGGATAAATAAGAAAAACCTTTTCTTCAGAAAAAAAAAAAACTATCAGTTTTAATAATCCTAGCATGTTACTTGAAACTATAGTAAATTAAAGAACAAAAGTACATTGAAATGTAACATAAATCAACAGGGTCCCTAAAAAAGTTCATTTTTCCATCAGCAGCAGAGTGGAGGAGTAGTTTCTTGCCTGAGCTGGTAAATTTTCATGGAAATTCTGCTAGACTATAGTAAACAATGACCCTTGAATCCTTTTTCCAGGAAAATTTCAGCAGTTTCTTTATCCAAGATCCTGTTGTCTTTTTTGTGCACTAGTACAAAGCCTACGCAAGCCTACAGAGAGCTATTATGACAGCAAGAAACAAAAGGATAGCGAGAAATTTCTTTGTAATCCTTTTTTTCCCCTAAAAGGCTTTAAGAAAGAGTACTTAATTGTCAGTCATCATCATCTACTGTTCTCTTTACATCGTTTAGG